GGACTGCAACTCCCAGCTTTCCTCACCATTAGCTATATTGCCTAGTTATGCTGGGAGATGCAATCCCAGCATTCTTGAAGGGCCATACAATTCCTTCCTTTTGTTGTTGTTCATTCGTTCAGTCGTTTCCAACTCTTCGTGACCTCATGGACCAGAGCTCCTTGTTGGCCGTCACCACCCCCAGCTCCTTCAAGGTCAATCCAGTCACTTCAAGGATACCAGCCATCCATCTTGCCCTTGGTCGGCCCCTCTTCCTTTTTCCTTCCATTTTCTCCAGCATCATTGTGTTCTCTAAGCTTTCCTGTCTTCTCTGTCCAGTGAGCAGTTGGGCTTTATTTCCTGAAGGATGGACTGGTTGGATCTTCTCGCTGTCCAAGGCACTCTCAGAACTTTCCTCCAACACCACAGCTCAAAAGCATCGATCTTCCTTCGCTCAGCCTTCCCTAAGGTCCAGCTCTCAAATCCGTAGGTGACTATGGGGAATACCATTGCTTTAACTATGTGGATCTCCATTGCCAGTGTGATGTCTCTACTCTTCACTATTTTATCGAGATTGGACATTGCTCTCCTCTCAAGAAGTATCTCCTGATTTCCTGGCTGCAGTCTGCATCTGAAGCAGTCTTTGCACCTAGAAATACAAAGTGTGTCACGGCCTCCACGTTTTCTCCCTCTATTTCCCAGTTGTCAATCATTCTTGTTGCCATAATCTTGATTTTTTTTAAAAAAAATTTTTAAACTGTAACCCAGTTTTTGCACTTTCTTCTTTCACCTTGATTAGAAGGCTCCTCAGCTCCTCCTCGCTTTCGGCCATCAAAGTGGTGCCATCTCCATATCTAATGTTTCTTCCAGCAATTTTCACCCCAGCCTTGCACTCTTGAAAATTCCTTCCTTGCACTCTTGAAAATTAACATGAATGTGATGGAGGCTCCTATCAAAAACAAGTCATGCCAGACTAATCTGATCTCTTTTTTCGATAGAGTTACAAGCTGGGTAGATGCGGGGAATGCCGTGGATGTAACGTACCTGGATTTCAGTAAGGCCTTCGACAAGGTCCCCCATGACCTTCTGGCAAGGAAACTAGTCCAATGTGGGCTAGGCAAAACTACGGTGAGGTGGATCTGGAATTGGTTAAATGGACAAACCCAGAGGGTGCTCACTAATGCTTCCTCTTCATCTTGGAAAGAAGTGACAAGTGGAGTGCCGCAGGGTTCTGTCCTGTTCAACATCTTTATTAATGACTTAGATGAAGGGTTAGAAGGCAGGATCATCAAGTTTGCAGACGACACCAAATGGGGAGGGATAGCCAATACTCCAGAGGACAGGAGCAGGATTCAAAACGATCTTGACAGATTAGAGAGATGATGGGCCAAAACTAACAAAATGAAGTTCAACAGTGACAAATGCAAGATACTCCACTTTGGCAGAAAAAACGAAATGCAAAGATACAGAATGGGGGACAATGCCTGGCTCGAGAGCAGTACGTGTGAAAAAGATCTTGGAGTCCTCGTGGACAACAAGTTAAACATGAGCCAACAATGTGATGTGGCGGCAAAAAAAGCCAATGGGATTTTGGCCTGCATCAATAGGAGTACAGTGTCTAGATCTAGGGAAGTCATGCTCCCCATGCTCTATTCTGCTTTGGTTAGACCACACCTGGAATATTGTGTCCAATTCTGGGCACCACAATTGAAGAGAGATATTGACAAGCTGGAATGTGTCCAGAGGAGGGCAACTGAAATGATCAAGGGTCTGGAGAACAAGCCCTATGAGGAGCGGCTTACGGAGCTGGGCATGTTTAGCCTGAAGAAGAGAAGGCTGAGAGGAGATATGATAGCCATGTATAAATATATGAGAGGAAGCCACAGGGAGGAGGGAGCAGCTTGTTTTCTGCTTCCTTGGAGACTAGGACGCAATGGAACAATGGCTTCAAACTACAAGAGAGGAGATTCCATCTGAACATGAGGAAGAACTTCCTGACTGTGAGAGCCGTTCAGCAGTGGAACTCTCTGCCCCGGAGTGTGGTAGAGGGTCCTTCTTTGGAAGCTTTTAAACAGAGGTTGGATGGCCATCTGTCAGGGGTGCTTTGAATGCAATATTCCTGCTTCTTGGCAGGGGTTGGACTGGATGGCCCACGAGGTCTCTTCCAACTCTATGATTCTATGATTCTATGATTCTTTGGAGGCTTTTAAGCAGTGGCTGGATAGCCATCTGTCGTGTGTGCTTTGAATACGATATTCCTGCTTTTTGGCAGAATGGGGTTGGACTGGATGGCCCACCAGGTCTCTTCCAACTCTAGGATTCTATGAATACAGAATGGGGTGGGTCGCCCAATAATAACAATGATTCGTCACCAGAATACTATTGGGATTTCCTGTTCCACACTCACTGGCGATGATGTAAAAGCTGTTGTTGGTTTCGCACTATTGTCAACCTTTTACAGTCACTAAGATGACAACTGTAAGTGGAATAAGCATGGATTTTTTTTTTTTTTAAAAACTACCTTATTTCAGAACAACGGTCAAAGAGGCCCATTGGCCCATGCTCTGGAATTTCGAGACGACAGCATTTAGGGTCAGAGCATGTATGTGTATGCTGCTTTTACATCTCAATCCATGGCATCCTCATACATTTCATAGTGCCTTCTTAAGCAAGGAGGACTCCAAGGTGGTTTTGCCAATTCCTTCCTCTATAACAGGCATTGGCCAATTTTGGCCCTCTGAGTGTTTTGGACTTCGACTCCCACCATTCCTAACAGTCTCAGGCCCTTTCCTTTTCCCCCTCAGCCCCCTCAGAATTGGCCTATGCCTACCTTAAAAGATGGACAAGCCTTGACCAAAGCCCTCCCTGGCTGTTTACTCTCATGTATCTCCGCTGAAAGGAGCTTTGTGTACTCTTTCCGAAGCCACTGAACCCTGAAATTCTAGCATACGAAGCCCCCCCAGCTATATTTAAAGGGAGAAGAGATAAAACGGAGGCAGCATTCAAAAGGTCTGTCATGCAGCCAAGTGACATCCTGCAAGCCAAGGCTTCGGTTTCGGATGCAGCAGCATTCATGCTCAGTGACATTTTGCTGCACTGATGTTGGCAAGGCCCAATGGGCTGCCTTCCACTGTGCCAGAGATGTCTCACGTTCTTAGAAAAATATAAAAATCAATAAACAACTCCTTGAGGGACCAGACGTGCGATACTGAGCAGCAGGCGTCAACATTACCTACGAAGCAGCCATGTCGGATGTTCTTTCAACATAGAGCAGAAAAGGAAGGCTGGCCTTGCTGCTGGTGAGCCACCAATAATAATAATAATAATAATAATAATAATAATAATAATAACAACAACAACAACAATAACAACAAAAACAGTAGAAGAGAAACACGCACTGGCAGATGATGTGAAAGGCAGTCAAGAACCAACATTGATGGAAGTCAACAGTAGTAAACTGCTTCAAGTGCAAAAGACAAAGAGGGAATACCGTAAAAACACAATCTAGAGCAGAAGGGAAAACTGGCAAAAGAAGGCTCTCCGTGGACAGTTCCTGGGGAAAATTGAGAACCAAATTGACAAAGAAAAAACATGGCTGTGGCTCACAAATGGAACTCTGAAAAAAGAGACAAAGGAGGGCCTGATTCTGGCAGCCCAAGAACAAGCCATTAGAACCAATGCCATCAAAGCCAGATTTGAAAAGTCGACAACAGATCCCAAGTGTAGACTCTGCAAGGAAGCAGATGAAACAATGGATCACATCCTGAGCTGCTGCAAGATCGTGCAGACAGACTACAAGCAGAGGCACAACACCATTGCTCAGATGATTCACTGGAACTTGTGCCACAAAGACCCATCTGCCTGCAATAAAGAACTGGTGGGATCAAGGCAGATCACACCTGCCTTATGTTGCCTTCAATCCTCCTGTTGATCTATGGTCACTCCATGGATTTCACAGGGTTCTTTAGGCAAGTAATATTCAGAGACAGATTTGCAAGTTCCTTCCTCTAAAATATAACCTACAGCACCTGGGATCCATGAGGTCACGAAGACTGGGAAACGACTGAACAAATAAACAACAACAAACCAGGGATTCATTGCTGTCCCCTCATCCAAACACTAGCCAGAGATGAACCTGCCTGGTTCTCAAGATCAGGATGGTCTGGAGTCAAGCTGCTTACAAATAACACCCTCCAAACTTCCATGGTTTGACACACATCATGTTGATGAAGCGAGCGCTGAAACAGCAGCCCATCTGGCTTTATTCCACATCTGGAGGCCAAGCAAGTCTGTCCCAGCATCTGTTTCTCTCCCCTGAGAGCTCCCTACTTCCATAAAATGCAACTTCAGGATTTACAGAGAAAGGCAAATCTTGCCATCTGAGATGAGAGCAGATGTGTCTCCAAATTACAACTCTGTCCAACACACCTTTTGGAGCCTCAAATGCAAGCCTTGTTTCTGGAGGTCTCTGACCTGCCGATTCCGAAAAATGAAACCCATTTCCCCTCATTGGATCGAGTTTTTGAGATACACAACATATGTCATTTACTTCTGCTCATCCACAGGAAACCAGGGTTAGAGAGAATGGGGAATTCTTGTCTATTGACTCATGTAAAACACATATAACGACGTACACCCAAGACCAAACCATTAAAACACATTGGCAAGTCCAAGCTGGATGGTCCAGCTTGCCCCTCGTTTGCCCTGATTGGGCTCAAACTCTATCACCCGGTGTTTCACTTCCAGCTTTCCAGTTGGATGGACAGCTGCTCATAATGTTAAATCCATACCGGCGTTTTCACCAGCCGCAATTATGCTCCCAAACAGGATTGAAAATTAAAGCGTTTGGGCTAATTACAATCAATCAAAGTGTCAGAGTGGATGTAATAACGGAGACAAGGCAGCAGGCAGTGTGACCTAGCGAGAAGGGCCTCGGGTCAACCAACGGCACTGAAATGGAAGCCACGGCGGGAGAAGAGAGGAGAAGGCGGCACAGGCCTCCTGGATTTGCTCTTACTTACATCTCCGGGGTCTTAGACTTGTTTTTCCCATTGAAGAACTCTGGAAGAGCGCGGCGTTCAATCACGTGGATGCTGTTGAGAAAAACAAGACCAATTTCATTCTAAAGTGCGTACACACAGATATATATATATATATATATATATATATATATATATATAGAGAGAGAGAGAGAGAGAGAGAGAGAGAGAGAGAGAGAGATTTTGATCTTTCAGTTTGACTTCCCCTTCCTTTAATAGACTGAGCAGGAAGCCACAACGCAATGTTCTGGATATAATCCCTTTACCATCAATTGAATTAAGAAATGGATTTTCTATTTCAGAGAGTGATCAAAAGTCTGGTTCATTTTAAAATGGTTAGGATGAAAACAACTGAACAGGAGCACTCTTGTAGGTTTTTTCGGGCTATATGGCCATGTTTTAGAGGCATTCTCTCCTGCCGTTTCGCCTGCATCTATGGCAAGCATCCTCACAGGTAGTGAGGTGACCAAAGATTTTTCTGTTCATTTCTCCTCTTGTCTGTGTGTCTTGTGCGTGGGATGTGGCTAAGATTCACTTGCTGCCCAACAGCCTCCAGACCATCAAGATATCTTGCAAACTCAAGGCAGCTGCAGCTGGTTCAACCAACCCACCGGCAGGGCTGCCTCCCTCCTTTCCTATTGTCTTCCACTTTGGCAGGCCTTATCATGTTTCCCATGTATATCTAAGGCAGGCCTGTACAACCTGTGGCTCTCCAGTTATTTCTGACCTCAACTCCCAGAATTCCTGACCGTTGGACAAGTGGTCTAGGGCTTCTGGGTGTTTGGAGTCACAGGTTGTGTAGGTCTGATCTAAAGTATACCATCATCTGAGTCAACTTGGCTTCTACAGAGAAGTCAGGCTTGATTTTCAATACTTCTTTGTACACAGCACAATGCCTACCTCCCAGGAAAATGAAACAACATCAATTAACAAATTGCCTAAGGGGGAAAAAAACTATGAAACTCATAAGGTCACTGTAAGTTATGGTTGTGTACACAATAACTGGAATTAGCCCAGTGAAATGGCAACGTACACCTCCAGATTCTCTTCTTGCGCAGGAACGTGAAACCTGGAACGCGACACCAGGCTGTCTGAAACACAGCATGTAACATTTAAAAGGCGCACTGTTTTAAGTGAGGGGAAGTGAGTAGACATAGATGTAAAAATGCTTCCTCCTCCTCCTCCTCTTTTCTGGCAGCGAAATGACGCAAGTCTCAGAACAGCAATTATGCCAGCCCAATTTGCATTCCATTTGAGGGTAGCGTCGAGCCGCGCTACAAGCGCCTGAGCATGCTTCGGATACAAAAAGGCTCTCCCCAGACGGCTATTAAGAGGAGCTGTATCCACGGACGTCAGAGAAGAACACTTTGGGCCCAGGAGGAGCACAGGCATAATGGTGTTTGCCTCTTGAAAGCTGCCTCAAGGGACCGAGGCAAGTCCATGGCGCACAGGAGGGAGAAACACTGGCCAAATATCCAGTCTGAAGCTGAGCAAGGATTCGAACCCGGGTCAACACTGTTCCTAGTTCAACACTGACAACCATAACACAATGCTGCCTCCCCAAATAGGAACCAGAATCCTCAAATAGCTAGGATACTATCTACTGGGAAACAAATAAATAAAAGGGACCGAGGACCCAAGCTCCGAGTTCTGCCTTAAACCAAACATAGTTATACACTTTTCCATCTTCATCGCTATGATACTTCATCTTGTTGATGGGAACCTTCCATCAGAGTGGAAATCATCTATCAGACCAGAAATCATCTATCAGACTGATGTCAAGCTATTTAACCTTAGTAGACAGAAAGCCAAAACCAAGGTCACAACAACATCTATTATAGAACTCGAATATGCTGATGACAATGTTGTCTGTGCACATTCAGAAAAAAACCTGCAAGCCACTCTAAACACTTTGCAGAAGCATACGATAAGCTGGGTCTGTCACTGAGTCCCTCTACAGAGGTGAGAAGATCGGGATAGAAAAGGTCTAAATAAATAAATAAATAGGGCCTAGAGAAAACCGAAGTCCTCTTCCAGCAGTCACCGGCCAATCCCTCTCCAATGCCATAGATACAGCTTAATGGTGTAGCATTAGAAAATATTGTTGTTTGTTGCGGGCCTTGGCCATTGTAAGGCGCATTGAGTCCTTCGGGAGATTTTGCGGGGTATAAATAAAGTCAATAATAATAATAATAATAATAATAATAATAATAATAATAATAAATGTTGACCATTTCCGCTCCCTTAGCAGCCACCTCTCCACAAAAGTCAACATTGACACTGAAATACAACACCGCCTGAGTTCTGCGAGTGCAGCATTTTCCCGAATGAAGTAGAGTGTGTTTGAGGACCAGGACATCCATAGGGAGACCAAGGGGCTTGTTTATAAAGTTATTGTCCTCCCAACCCTGCAATATTGTCCTCCCAGCCTGTGAAAAGTTGACTGTCTACGGACATCACACTCAACTCCTGGAAGGATTCCATCAGTATTGCCTTCGAAAAATCCTGCAAATCTCTTGGGAAGACAGGTGGGGAAATGTCAGCATGCTGGAAAAAGCAAAGACCACCAGCATTGAAGCAATGCTCCTCTGCTATCAACTCTGCTGGACTGAATGCCACATTGTCTGACCACCATCTCCTAAAGCAGTTACGCTACTCCCAACTCAAGGACGGAAAACAGAATGTTGGTGGACAGGAAAAGAGATTTAAAGATAGGCTTAAAGCCAACCTTAAAAACTCTGGCATAGACACCAAGAACTGGGAAGCCCTAGCCCTTGAGTGCTCCAACTGGAGGTCAGCTGTGACCAGCAGTGCTGCAGAATTCGAAGAGGCACGAATGGAGGGCGAAAGGGAGAAACGTGCCAAGAGGAAGGCACGTTGAACCAACCTTGACCGGGGCCGCCTTCCACCTGGAAACCGATGCCCTCACTGCGGGAGAACATGCGGATCAAGAATAGGGCTCCACGGCCACCTACGGACCCGCTGCCACGACACGACACTTGGAGGACCATCATCCTCGGGCTACAAGAGATCGCCTAAGTAATACACTTTAAAGCAGGCATGGGCAAACTGCGGCCTTCCGACGTACCAGTTATAGTCGAACCAGGAGGCATAGCTGGGAATAATGATGTGATTGGTCTGCTCGGTGACGTTGTCTTCTCCTGTGTCGATGGAGCGGCTCTGGTCACCTCTGTTGGGGTCTTCGTCTTCCTGAAAGAGGAAATCAACACAGCCATGGGATAAAGACAGTACCGAAAGGGGAAAGCAATGACCACGGTCACTTAAGCCAGTGATTCTCAACCTGTGGGTCCCCAGATGTTTTGGCCTTCAACTCCCAGAAATCCTAACAGCTGGTAAGCTGGCTGGGATTTCTGGGAGCTATAGGCCAAAATACATGAGGAGGGACCCACAGGTTGAGAACCACTGGCTTAAGCCGTGCAATTTGTACAATGCAGTTTGTGCTACAAGACTGGACCAGTTCTTGAAACCAACTGCTGCTGAAGAAAGAAAGGTAGAATTATTTATTATTTATTTTATTTCAGTCTAGCCATCTCCTGCCATGCGTTGCTGTGGCCCAGTCTGTATATATGTTTTGTGTGTGTGTATATGCGTGTATATGTGTATTTGCATATACAGACAGACAGACAGATAGATAAAAATGTAATGTCTGTTTGTGGTATTAGGAGCATAGTATCTAGATCTAGGGAAGTAATGCTCCCCATGCTCTATTCCGCTTTGGTTAGACCACACCTGGAATATTGTGTCCAATTCTGGGCACCAAAATTCAAGAGAGATATTGACAAGCTGGAATGTGTCCAGAGGAGGGCGACTAAAATGATCAAGGGTCTGGAGAACAAGCCCTATGAGGAGCGGCTTAAGGAGCTGGGCATGTTTAGCCTGAAGAAGAGAAGGCTGAGAGGAGATATGATAGCCATGTGTAAATATGTGAGAGGAAGTCACAGGGAGGAGGGAGCAAGCTTGTTTTCTGCTTCCCTGGAGACTAGGACGCGGAACAATGGCTTCAAACTACAAGAGAGGAGATTCCATCTGAACATGAGGAAGAACTTCCTGACTGTGAGAGCCGTTCAGCAGTGGAACTCTCTGCCCTGGAGGGTGGTGGAGGCTCCTTCTTTGGAAGCTTTTAAACAGAGGCTGGATGGCCATCTGTCAGGGGTGATTTGAATGCAATATTCCTGCTTCTTGGCAGAGGGGTTGGACTGGATGGCCCAGGAGGTCTCTTCCAACTCTAGGATTCTATGATTCTAACATAACTCAAAAACTACTGGATGCGCCCGTACCTCGGGAAGTCTGACTTGGCCACGGTAGTACATGCTCTGGTCACATCCCGCCTTGACTACTGCAACGCTCTCTACGTGGGGCTGCCCTTGAAGACGGCCCGGAAGCTTCAGCTAGTCCAGCGCGCGGCAGCCATGTTACTAACAGGAGCGGGACGCAGGAAGCACACAACGCCCTTGTTGTTCCAGCTCCACTGGCTGCCGATCTGCTACCGGGCCCAATTTAAGGTGCTGGTGTTGGCCTACAAAGCCCTAAACGGTTCCGGCCCAAAATACCTTTCTGACCGCATCTCGGCCTATGAGCCCACGAGGACCTTGAGATCGTCTGGGGAGGCCCTTCTCTCGATCCCGCCTGCCTCACAGGCACGCCTGGCGGGGACGAGGGATAGGGCCTTCTCGGTGGTGGCCCCCCGGCTGTGGAACACCCTCCCTGTAGACATCAGACAGGCGCCCTCCCTTATGACATTCCGCAAGAGACTAAAGACATGGTTATTTGAGAAGGCGTTTGACTAAGTGCTACAACAATTGGCAATGATGACTGGAACGGAATATGGATAACGAGATTGGTTTATGATTCTACGATGAGACGGCGCGGATGATTTAGTGTAATTGTATTGTTGATAGTTATGTTGATATTATTGTTGTGATATATTGTAAACTGTTTTTATATGTTGTACACCGCCGTGAGTCGCCCTAGGGCTGAGAACGGCGGTCAACAAATGCAGTAAATAATAAATAAATAAATAAATAAATAAATGAATGAATTGACACCAAATTTGGACACAACACACCTATCAGGCCAATGAGTGTCCATCACCCCTAAAAACACACAAAAAAACCAGCAGAACAGTCTTAAAACCTCCCAAAATAAACTATATATACATATACACATACACTCATATACATATACAAAAATTGGGTTGCCTGAATGCTACAGTGCAAGGTTTGGTCTCAGCAATGGCCCTACTAGGGGACCGGGGCCTCTCAATTCACAATACTTGGTGAGAAATTTGGAGTTCTTTTCTTATTCATGAAGAAGAGACCTTTACCTTTCCTCCTGTTGCCACCGTTTCTTCATCCTGCTCATCTGAAAGACAAGAATGAAGAGAGAAATAATTGTTGGAACAGTTTAGATGTTTTAATTTTTGGTTTTAACGTAATTGTTTATTTAATTGTATATTGTTTTCATGGCACTGAATTATTGCTGACGTGTAAGACTGCTCTAAGTCCCCCTCAGGGTTGAGAAGACATGACGATTCATAACAGTGGAGAAATTACAGTTAGGGAGTAGCAACAAAAATAATTCTATGGTTGGGGATCACCACAACATGAGGAAATGTATTAAGGGGTCGCAGTATTAAGAAGGTTGAGAACCACTGAGTTAGAGAAACTAAACAGCAAGTGCCAATACTTCTAGGGAAGTCCTGCTCCCCATGCTCTATTCTGCTTTGGTTAGACCACACCTGGAATATTGTGTCCAATTCTGGGCACCACAATTCAAGAGAGATATTGACAAGCTGGAATGTGTCCAGAGGAGGGCGACTAAAATGATCAAGGGTCTGGAGAACAAGCCCTACGAGGAGCGGCTTAAGGAGTTGGGCATGTTTAGCCTGAAGAAGAGAAGGCTGAGAAGAGACATGATAGCCATGTATAAATATGTGAGAGGAAGCCACAGGGAGGAGGAGGGAGCAAGCTTGTTTTCTGCTTCCCTGGAGACTAGGACGCGACACAATAGCTTCAAACTACAAGAAAGGAGATTCCATCTGAACATGAGGAAGAACTTCCTGACTGTGAGAGCTGTTCAGCAGTGGAACTCTCTGCCCCGGAGTGTGGTGGAGGCTCCTTCTTTGGAAGCTTTTAAACAGAGGCTGGATGGCCATCTGTCAGGGGTGATTTGAATGCAATATTCCTGCTTCTGGGCAGAATGGGGTTGGACTGGATGGCCCAGGAGGTCTCTTCCAACTCTTTGATTCTATGATAATTGCGAGGCTCTAATTTATAAATTAATACACAGGTTAAATTTACGCTGGGAGTGAGTTTTGCTTTATGTTCAAAACAACAGATTCCTTTGCATATTTTGTCAGCCAGGTCTGGTTACATAGGCTGTTTTGTAAGACCTAACAGCTTTCTAAAACTAGTGATCACGAGGGCAACAACACACCAGGTGGTTGGAAATACCCTGGAGACATCTTCACCTGCTTCCCTCTTCAGGAGAGCCACCCACCAAGGAATTAGGCTTTGTTTCGACTTCAATTGGGAGGCAACCTTTGACACAGATTGGGGTAGAAAGGCAGGTAAAAATAGCCGCAGGTCCCCAAGACTGAAAAGAGGCCCACGCCATTAAAAACCAAGCAGAAGGGTGTAAAAGGCTTACCAAGGTCTGCAACTGTCCCTCCTTTCACGGGAGTGTTTTCACTATCTTTCTTTGGGTTTACTATAAAAGTGAAGCAGAAGCAGAAGGTCAGGTTGCAGCATTGCACAGCCCTGCCTGTGAAGCTCGAGGCCCTTGCTTTCCCCTCTTCCTTGCAATTGTCATTCTGAGCACGAAGCACACCGTTTCAGTGCTTGGAAATACCACAAAATAAGCAGCGCCCCAAGGCAACCAATTTACTTGGGTTTGATAAACAGAAAATTCCAGACCGTTCTCCCATTTTTCCCTCAATGCCGTGAACCGGGTCAGGACCAGGGGCAGCGGGAGAGGCAGGTTCATTCGGTTCAATTTCTGGAACTCTCAAACCCTTCGAGGCAGACCGCCATTAGTCAAATACACTGAAAAGCAAACTCTTGCCTGGAATGCTGAACAGCTTTCCTATGAGGCCTTCAGGATAGAAATTGCTAAAGATTTTGGAACACACGTGATCCAGGAGCAACATTAAGGGATGGTCTTCCAGGTTAGTGTTGAACCTGAGTTCCCATCAGCCCCAGACCAGCCAATGGTGAGGGAGAACACAAGCCCAACCTCACCTTAATAGGCCAAAAGCTCACCCCATCTGAGATATAAGGAGTGTCAGCTATATTAAAAATTAACTAGGTGTTTCTAATTACAAAATGTGAGTCAAGCACTGAAAGGGTTAAATGAATGCAATGGCTCAGAAAAAGTTGCATTTCAATATAAGCAGGTATGCCTATAGCTTAGTAGCCCTCAGTCTGTGAGAAGGCCTCAGTGGGAGAAAGGCCCCAGTGTGAGGTAGGCCTCAGAATGAGAAGGCCTCAGTGTTAGTTCGCCTTGGTGCGAGAGAGGCCTCAGTGGTAGTTCGCCTCAGTCTGAAAGAGGCTTCAGTCTGAGAGAGGCCTCAGTGTGAGAAAGGGTTCAGTGTTAGGTAGACCTCAGAATGAGAAGGCCTCAGTGATAGTTCACCTCAGTATGAGAGAGGCTTCAGTCTGAGAGAGGCTTCAGTGGTAGTTCACCTCAGTCTGAGAGAGTCCTCAGTCTGAGAAGACCTTAGTGGGAGAAAAGCCTCAGTGTGAGGTAGGCCTCAGTATGAGAAAGCCTGGTGTGAGAAGTTTTGGTGAGAGAATTCCCCAGGTTGAAGACCTTGTGAGAGAATTTCCAGTGTGTGAAGGCTGCTGTGTGTAAAAAGCTCCTGTGTGAAGCTCCTGTGTAAGTTCGGTGTGAGAAGAGGTTCTGTGAGAGCAAAACTGTTTATCTGCATGAGAAACAAGCCCAGCGTGGAATCGAAGAAGGAAGTATAACGAACTTTATTTGTGTTGTGGAAACCTTGTTTTTGGAAATAGTGCAACCATATTACTTTACTACAAAGAAAGGCCTTCTATGGAAGAGATAACATTGATCTGTGTGTTTGTGTTCTTTTATCCGTTTGGGCTACTGGTGTTGTCACATGGCTGCTAATAAGTTACTCTACTGTGCATTTCTGGAGAGGATTTTTTTGATAATAAACCCACTCGACCAACAAGAAGCTCCAGAAAGACCATTTCCTCCCACTCCCCAAAGGCTTTCAAAATTCACGTCAGTACAGAGCTGGAAAGTTAAGAGCAATGACAAGACATTGAGCCACGAAAGGTGCGTCTGGAATGCCGTACCGTTTTTGGGGAGCACCACTTCCTCCATGTTCGGCACAGGGGTGGGGTCCTCCATATCCTTGGTGAGGTCTTCCTGCTCATCATCCTCTCGCTGTCCCCTCCTCTTCCCATAAAGGCCCGCTTGCCTACGGCAGATGAACCACAAACAGCGTCTTTTCCCAGCCATTCTATGCAACAGGGGGCCTCACCATGGCAAGACCGTACCTGGGATGGATCAGGGAGTCCTTCCCTATGGAAGGCTTCCAAGGCAGGGATCTCCCTCACACAGCTCAAGGCAAAATGCAACCTCTGTTGATTTATAACTGAAATGGTTCCCTGTGTTTCACACTTGCAAACACAGGTGGCTTACAGTTAAGGAAGTTAAGGAAAACTGCATACCAATACACACATATACAATACAGTAAGCAAAACAGAATCATATGCAAACTAATTACTAGTGGAGGATTGAAGAAGGTTGCTATTTCCAACATTAAGGACACGGTTCGCATTCATTGTTTATTCAATCAGACCCTGGGCGGAGATTCACCTTGGCCAAATGGATGTGACATCATTTTTACCTTTTCAATAAGGTTATGGTGTGGTTATTTCCAATAAGTTATGGAATTTCCAATATTTCAGGTAAGTTATACGTAAACTGACCTACACCATCATCTTTTTTATTGTTTTGGTGCAACTAAAGATAGCGCTTAATTGCTGTAACAATAAATAATGCAGCCTATTAATTTCAACATACATAATGTAGTCTGGAAAACTTGAATTTAAGCTCATACACAGAAGCAGCTGTAACAACTGCCTTATTAGATAACCTTATTAAGATAATCAAGTTATATCAGGACAGCTTTTGCCAAGGTAGAGAAGAGAATCTGCATATTAATGGCCCCTGCCCGTCAACCGCGTGGCACTCATTAGCTGGGAAGGAAGGGCTGCTCCGTGTTCCCCTCCTCTGGCAGGAGGCACATTCCCCTCCGATGATCAAGGGACTGTGCTCTGCAGGCAGCATTAAAGATGCATGCAACCCACGCGAGGAGATGGCGGCACAGGGGTGGTCGGGCCGGTCAGAGGCGCTGTAAACACAGGCTCTTTGGAGAAACTGCTGGCTCATCTCTGCCCCAGGGATTAGAAAGAGGCATCACCCCCAGCTGTGGGAAGCACACACCACTCACCCCTTCTTCCCAGATTTCTTCCTGGATTCCACTGGAGTGGGAGCAGGCGGAGGCGGGGAAGGGGAGTGCTTCCTTTTCCTGGCCCCAACCGCTGCCTTCCGATCGCGTCGTTCCGGGCTACGGACCGGCTGCTGAGGAAACAAAACCCGTCAGGACCAGTCTCTCGCTCAGGACCAAGATCCAATCTGTGACTTCCAAAGTCTAGCGTAGGCATGGGCAAACTTCAGCCCTCTCTCCAGGTGTTTTGGACTTCCAACTCCCACAATTCCTAACAGTCAGTATGCATAGTTTAGCAGCACTGGGCCAAGTCTCACTCAACTTCTTTCCTCAAAAAGACTGACCACTACCTTGAGGGCCAGGCTAACCGGCTAGCTATAGAAGATCCTGCCAACCAGAAGGTCAGCAGGTCAAGCTCGGGTTGGGGTGAGCTCCAGCCCAGCTTCTGCTCACCTAGCAGTTCAAAAACAATAATGTAAGTAGATAAATAGGTACTGCTTTGGCCAGGAGGTAAAAGCGCCCTGAAAAACTTGCGGGCAAAAATCCAACCAGGAAAAACGGACGACAGGCTCCTCGGCGTGGAAAAATGAAACAACAGCACCTCCCCATGGTTGTGTCGAACACAGGCAGATGGCAGAGATGAAAAGAGGGAAGCCTTGCCTTTGTTTATGTACTGTATGTCTCTGTCAGTTGTATAACAACAGCATTGAACACTTGCCATACATGTACCTCTAATCTGCTCTGAGTCCCCTTGGAGAGACAGAGTGGAATATAAATAAAGTACAAGTAAAGGTTAAGGTTTTCCCTTGACATTAAGTCTAGTCATGTCTAGGGGGTTGTGCTCATCTCCATTTCTGGATCAAAGAGCCGGTGTTATCTGTAGACACCTCCAAGTTCATGTGGCCAGCATGACTACATGGAGCACCGCTACCTTCCCACCAAGGCAGTACCTATTGATCTACTCATATTTGCATGTTTTCAAACTGCTAGGTTGGCAGAAGATGGGGCTAACAGTGGGAGTTCACCCTGCTCGATGGATATGAACTGTCAACCCTTCGGTCAGCAAATTCAGCAGCTCAGTTTTACCCGCAGCTATCCTGAATATGATATAATTGAGGACAGGATAAGCCCTCCACCCCCACCTTGTTCCTAAAATAAGCCAGTATGACATTGTCAAGATTTGGAAGTTACACAGCATTTCTTTAACAGGATCAGTGTTTTAGGTCTAATGACAGGTGTCACTGTAATTGGGGTGTGGTGGGTAGTAGTGAGACAATAGAATATAAGCTGTAGTAGCCCTGTGTTTGAGGAGGGAAGTTAACAATGGATGGTGTGTTGGAGGATTGTAGAGACTTTATATATACTGTATACGGTGGTCCCTCACTACTTGGCGGTTTTCTTTTTGCAGACTCGCTGTTTCACGGTTTATCAATAAATATTATGTAAAATCTTGCAGTTTTGCAAGTTTTTGCATTACTCGGTAAAACAACAATCTCATGTATCGACTAGTTCTCCCACCAAATCAGGCAAATTCACTGCCAGCAAGGGCTGGTTTGATAAATTTTAGAAGCTCTATGACAGGGGTCCTCAAACTAAGGCCAGGGGGTTCAGCCAGGATCGACAACAAACTCAATGTTTACGTCGCTCCGAAAGGCTTCGTCAGATAAGAGACAAGAGTGGGGGAAAACGAAACCAATTTTTGGGCTTTGGGATATAAAGTTTGCTTCAAGGGAAAGCCTGTTAGATCAGGCATCATTGGGAAATCATGTTCATGTGCCTTGGAAATCCTGTTCAAGGGGCCTTGTTCTTATAGAGATTTTTAGCATTTTGCTGTGGCCTAGCACCTTCTGGATTATCTTTGCAACCTGTTGATTCCTGTCTGAATAAATACTGCCTTGGATTGTTTTTATATCTTTTGTGGACATTGCTTTGAATTACTGCATTTTACTGATCTTTTACATTTTGAAATTTGCCTATTTTTACAAGCATTTCTTTCTACTGGCTATTTTACTCAGCTTCAGTAAAAAGGATTGGTTTTTCACTCAATCTGTGGTGTGTTTTAAAGTCAGAGGGGATCGTTTCTGTTCTGGAGTGCAACAAGGCTGAGATGCTGAAACTGGAAGTCAAGTAATTCAGTGCCACTGAATTATATTTGCAGTTTCATGTAACCGCAGACTGCCCAGAAACATAATCCCTGCACAGAGAAATCTTGATGCACACTGTTGTGTTATTATACTATAAACGGCCAGGCAGCTTGATCTGCTTAAGATATTTCACTGATCTCACTACTATCAGATTTTGACAAGTTTATGTACAGCAATATTATTTCTCCTCCACTTTTTTTATCCTTCTGATTCCACCAAACTGGGACTGAAGGTGGATTATAAAAAATTAAATACAGATAAAAGTCTTTACATTTTATAATTACGGGCCTTGTATTACATTTCTAAGAAGTTAATTACACAGTATGATTGTCTTTTAATTCCCCAGTAAAATGTAAGCTTCTTTTTTCACATTCCGCATTCTCATGGACTCCAAAGGGCAACTCAGGCCACAATCTGTTCTTAGGGGGAAAATTGCCTCCAACCTGGATATACTATAATACTAAAACAGAAAGCGTCCATAAATCTTGCCTTCAGCAGCGCTCCAAGACAACAAAGCTCAGACACTTGAATCAACACACTGAGCATCAGGGGATTCTAGAGATGTCCATCTAGTGATTATTTTGCTTTTAAAAAAGAAAGATTTACGTTCTGGTTTGCTGAGAGTTTACTTGGCTGTGTGACCATGTTCCAGAAGCATTCTCTCCTGGCGTTTCGCCTGCATCTATGGCAGGCATCCTCAGAGGTTGTGAAGTCTGCTGGAAACGAGGCAAGTGGGGTTTATATATAGTCTGTGGAATGATGTCCAGGGTGGGAGAAAATTTATTTATTTATTTAGTATATATTTTTTATTAGATTTATTGACTCACTCATCAAATGTTAAATTCCAGAGCCAAGTTTTCACCAACTTTCTAAAAGTCAGGAGAGAAGGGGCAGTTCTATTCTCCAGTGGGAGAGAATTCCAGAGCCGAGGGGCCACCACCGAGAAGGCCCTGTCCCTCGTCTCCACCAGATGCGATTGCGAGGGTGGTGGGACCGAGAGCAGGGCCCCTCCAGAAGATCTTAACGACCTTGATGGTTCATAGGGGAGAATCCGTTCGGACAAGTAAACTGGGCCAGAGTCGTTTAGGGATTTATAGGTCAACACCAGCACTTTGAATTGTGCTCGGAAGCTGATTGGCAGCCAGTGGAGCTGGCGCAACAGAGGAGTAGTATGCTCCTTGTATCCCACTCCTGTTAGTAATCTGGCTGCCACTCGTTGGACTAATTGCAGCTTCCGGGCAGTCTTCAGAGGCAACCCCACATAGAGAGCGTTGCAGTAGTCTATACGGGATGTAACCAGAGCTTGGACCACCGTGGCCAAGTCAGACTTCCCAAGAAAAAAAAAAACTCTTGTCTGTTTGAGGCAAGTGTGAATGTTGCAATTGGCCACCTTGACATATAAACCTCATTTGCCTAGTTTCCAACAGACCTCACAACCTCTGAGGGTGCCTGCCATAGATGTGGGTGAAACGTCAGGAGAGAATGCTTCTGGAACATGGCCAGAAAGCCCAGAAAACTCGCAGCAAACCAGTGATTTTGGCCATGAAAGCCTTCAACAACACATGAATGTACTTTCCTTACTTACAAGCAATAAGGACAAAAACTGTACAGTCTTCAGAATCATCTTTAGTCACTAAATGACTAAAGATAGTTGGAAGTTTGACCGGGCTGGACATTTCTCCAGAGGGTCAAAAAGCAAATCCACACCTGTTTTCTTCTACTGAGCCCCCCCCCCCCCCCGCAATTCCTCAAAGATAGAAATGTACTGTGTATTATATTATAGTGGGTTGTGAAGAACAGAAAGAGTGCCTAAGGACCAGAACCTTGAAGAGATAAAAGAGCAAAGCACCCCCTCACTTCCAGCTGATCCCAAAAGGGAATGGATGGACTCAAGTGTCACGTTAACAAAATGGGGTCTGGACTCCACAAGCACAAGCTCGGCTTAAACAGCGCTATCCTGACCTTCCAGAGAAAATTTATGTTAACAGATGCAGATCCTGTGTGAATTTCATGAAGGAGACTGCCGTTTCCTGGAGAATCCAAGTATAATAACAACTTCTGAGCCAAACTAAGCACAAAATTTATGCGATGTAAGAAGGCCGGTCTTACTTCTTCATTTTTCATATAGATCCGCTGGCGAAAGCTCACCGGCTTCTTGTTCTCATCGATCTCGTAATCTTCTTCATTCATCCATTCATTGAAGACATCTGTGTCCAGAATCCATTTGGCATGGACCTGCAGGAGAAAATGCAAGGCTGCTCTGAGAATAACCCCATTCCAGGAAAAAGCTGGGATAGAAATCCAAACAATCAATCATCCTCCAACAATGTTCCCTCTGCACACAACAAGACTGTTGCCACCTCTCTGGATTGTGCCCAGAAGCAGGCCTGGGAAAACTTTCTAACTTGGGGGCCACATCCTAGCACTCCTTGCTAAGAAGACTGGCTGCCCGGCAATGGAAGGAAGGAAGGAAGGAAGGAAGGGAATGATGGAAGGAGAAATAAGGAGAGAAGGGAGAGAGGAAGGAAAGAGAGGAGGAAGGAAAAACAAAAGGGAAGGAAAGAAGGAAGGACAAAAAGGTGGAAGGGTAGGATGGAAGGAAGAAGGAAGGAAGGAAGAAAGAGAAGGAAGAAAGGGAGAGGGTGGGAGGGAATGGAGGGAAGGGAGGAAAGAGAAGAAAGGAAAGACAAAAGGAAAGGAAGGAGAAAGAGGGAGGGAGGGAAGGAGAGACGAAAGAGGGAAGGACGAAAGGAAGGAAGAGAAAGATGGAAGGAGAAATAAGGAGAGAGGGGAGAGAGGGAGGTAAGGAGGAAGGAAAGAGAGAAGGAAGGAAAGACAAAAGTGAAAAAAAGAGGGAAGGACAAAAGGGTGGAAGGGAAGGATGGAAGGGAAGAAGGAAGGAAGGAAAAAAAGAGAAGGAAGAAAGGGAGGGAGGGAGAGAGAAGGATGGAAGGAAGGACCAAAGGGTGGAAGAGAACGGAGGGAAGGAAGGTAAGGATGAAAGAGAAGAAAGGAAAGACAAAAGGAAAGGAAGGAAGGAGAAAGAGGGAGAGAGGGAAGGAGAGAGGAAAGAGGGAAGGACGAAAGGAAAGAAGGGAAAGATGAAGGGGAAATAGAGAGGGGAGAGAGGGAGGTAAGGAGGAAGGAAAGAGAGAAAGAAAGAAGACAAAAGGGAAGGAAAGAAGGAAAGACAAAAGGGTGGAAGGGAAGGATGGAAGGAAGGGAAGGAGGAAGGAAAAAAGAGAAGGAAGAAAAGAGAAGGGAGGAGGGAGAGAAGGAGGAGGAAGGACGAAAGGGTGGAAGGGAATGGAAGGGAGGGAGGAGGGAAAGAGAAGAAGGAAGAAAGACAAAAGGGAAGGAGGAAGGAAGGAAAGGGGAGAGAGGGAAGAGAGAGGGAAAGGGAGGAAGGAAAGAGGAAAGTAAGGAGAAAGGAAAGAGAGAAGACAAAAGGGAAGGAAGGACGAAAGGTAGGAAGGGAAGGATGGAAGGAAGGGAAGGATGAAAGGGGAAGGAAGAGGGAAGGAAGGGAGGAAGGAAGAGAAGAAAGGAAAGACAAAAGAAGGAAGGGAAGGAAGAGAAAAGAGGGAGAGAGGGAAGGAGAGAAAGGAGGGAGGAGGGAAGGAGGAAAGGGAGTAAGGGAAAGGTGGAAAGAGAAAGAGGAAGGGAAGGAGAAAGGAAAGAGAGAAGACAAAAGGGAAGGAAGGGCGAAAGGGTGGAAGGGAAGGATGGAAGGAAGGGAATGTACAATCCCTGAGAAGGATGGCTGTCTCAGAACCATAGGCCCACAATTCAGAGTGAGGAAGCAAGAGAAATGGCCAAAGGATCATTTACCCCAAATAGAGAGAAAAGTGAGAGGAAGAAGGGGACTAGTTGACTATATATTGACTATATATTGTCGAAGGCTTTCATGGCCGGAATCACTGGGTTGCTGTGACTTTTCTGGGCTCTATGGCCATGTTCCAGAAGCATCATCTCCCAACAAAGGACTCCCCTGGCAGTAAGCAACCAGACCTTGAAGCTGCAAGGCCATTAAATGCTAATCAAGGTGGCCAATTGCAACATTCACACTTGCTTCAAAGAGTTCTTTCTCCCACACTGGACATTCCACAGAAATATAAACCCCACTTGTCTAGTCTCCAACCTCTGAGGGGGCCTGCCATAGATGTGGGTGAAACGTCAGGAGAGAATGCTTCTGGAACATGACCATACAGCCTGGAAAACTCACAGCAACCCATTGAGCATATAGCCAGAAAATGCCTACGATCAAGAGGTTTATGTACATGATGATAATGCTGGTCCCCTCAGATCTCCAGGTGAAAGAATCCAGAATCATTGGGAGTCTGATTCTATATGGGACAACTGCTTATGCTTCCATGATTTAGACAGAGACAGGATACCATTTTACAAGGGGGTGGATAAGCAAAGAGGAGTGGGAGCTGCATCTGCTTTGTCTATAAGCTACTTTACATTCTTCTTCTTTTTTTAATGTTTACGTTTTAAAGGGTTAAGAGCCTTCCCCTTCCTTTTCATCACGCAATACTATCTCCTTGCTGGTGGGAGGCAAAGGCACTAATGGATCCAGGAAGAACGTTCCCGTGTTGTCACGCAAATAAATAGAGCAATTATATCTGAGAAAGAGACGCTTCTGCTGGAACCGTCCCTTTCTCCTCGCGGGATGAATGAGATCGACCTCGAAGCACAGCGCTGCACACGGGACTGATGAAGGCGGCTGCCAGAGTTTGTTCCCCTTTGGTGTTCAACAAACCCCAGGAAATGATGACTCCAGTCATCATTAATACCTGTCCCGGGCCTTTTTATGGAAGGGACCTGCTCCTTGTGTCTACCAAGCAGGTTCTCTCAAAGGATCAGGCTTCTAAAAGGAATCTCCAGCCTTAAAAGAGCAAGCCTCTTGCAGCGTGTCATATGACGCAAGGAGAGATGCTTAATAAATGTATTATTATTATTATTATTATTATTATTATTATTATTATTATTATCATCACCATCTTAGGAAAACCTCCCCTGCCTTGCTTTGGTGGAGTTCAGGTGTGGGCAAAATTTGGCCCTCCCTCCGGGTGTTTTGGACTTCAACTCCCACAATTCCTAACAGCCTACCGGCTGTTGAAGTTGAAGTCCAAACACCTGGAGGGAGGGTCCACAGGGTTTTGTGGGTCTTCAAGTGCTGGCCACCCGGAGGGTCGATGTTTGCCCATGCCTGGTCTACTTCAACAAGGTGAGGTGCTTAACTCTGCTGATATGTGTTTCCACTGCCCTCTCAATAATAATAAGCCGTTCAGCAGTGGAACTCTACCCTGGAGTGTGGTGGAGGCTCCTTCTTTGGAAGCTTTTAAACAGAGGCCTGGTGGCCATCTGTCAGGGGTGATTTGAATGCAATATTCCTGCTTCTTGGCAGAATGGGGTTGGACTGGATGGCCCAGGGGGTCTCTTCCAACTCTTTGATTCTAGCATTCTATGTATAATAATAATAATAATAATAATAATAATAATAATAATAATAATAATGTAAAGGTAAAGGTTTTCCCCTGACATTAAGTCCAGTTGTGTCCGACTCTGGTGGTTGGTGCTCATCTCCATTTCTAAGCTGAAGAGCCAGCGTTGTCCATAGACAAGGTCATGTCGCCGGCATGACTTCATGGAGTGCCGTTACCTTCCCACCGGAGCGATACCTATTGACCTACTCACATTTGAATGTTTTGGAACTGCTAGGTTGTCAGAAGCTGGGGCTGACAGCAGAAGCTCACGCGACTCCCCAGATTCGAACCTGCGACCATTCGGTCAACAAGCTCAATGGTTTAACCCAATGCGCCACTGGGGGTTGCAATATAATAATAATAATAATAATAATAATAATAATAATAATAATTTATTTGTTTTCCGCACTATCTCGCTGAGGAGACTCAGGGAGGATTTCAGCACACACAAACACAAAGACAAATGTATTGTCAAAGGCTTTCATGACCGGAATCACTGGGTTGTTGGGTTTTTTTGGGCTATATGGCCATGGTCTAGAGGCATTGTCTCCTGACATTTCGCCTGCATCTATAGCAAGCATCCTCGGAGGTAGTGAGGAGAGGATGCTTGCCATAGATGCAGGCGAAACGTCAGGAGAGAATGCCTCTAGACCATGGCCATATAGCGCGAAAAAACCTACAACAACCCACAAAGGCAAACATTCAATCTCTAGAAACAATAATACATAGACAAGGGTAAAGGTTTCTCCTTCCGGCTCTGAGGGGTCGTGCTTATCTCCATTTCTAAGCCGAAGAGCCGGCGTTATACATAGACACCTTCTAGGTCATGTGGCTGGCATGACTGTATGGAGCGCCCTTTACTTTTCTGTCAAGTTAGTACCTATTCATCTACTCACATTGGCATGTTTTTGAACTGCTAGGTTGGCAGAAGCTGGCCCTAACAGCAGGAGCTCACCCTGTCCCACGGATTCGAACCACCAACCTTCCAGTCAGCAAGTTCAGCAGCTCCACCGTGGTCTCAAGCAAGATAGTCAATCTTCCCAACCCTGAGGCAGCCCTATCATGGGGTTTTCCTGGTAGGCATCCTTGGGAAGGGGTTTCCCATGGCCCTCCTCTGAGGCTGAGAGAGTGCCACCTGGTTAAGGGAATCCAATCTCAGTCTCCATGGCTGAGAGGAGAGTTGAACCCTGGGAGATTATTACACTCTACTTGTTAAAGAGTTGCTATCCCTGGTGTCGCAGTGGGTTAAAGCACTGAGCTGCTGAACATGTTGACCGAAAGGTCGCTGGTTCGAATCGGGGAGCGGCGTGAGCTCCCACTGTCAGCCCCAGTTTCTGCCAACCTAGCAGCTTGAAAACATGCAAATGTGAGTAGATCAATAGGTACCGCTCCACTGGGAAGGTAACAGCGGTTCATACCAGTGGCCACATGACCTTGGAGGTGTCTATGGACAATGCCAGCTCCTCGGCTTAGAAATGGAGATAAGCACCAGCCCTCAGAGTCGGACACGACTGGACTTAATGTCAGGAGAAAACCTTTACGTATCTTACCTATCCCACTTTAAATTCTATGGCTGTCTCCCGTAAAATTCTGGGATTTCCAGTTTAGGGAGATGTCTTTCAGTTGCCTCAGTAAACTACAAATTCCAGAACTCTACAGGGGACAGCCACAGCATGTAAAGTGGGATAGCCAGTGGAGTGTGAGAATGGTCTTCGGGAATTCTAGATGTGCATAATTTGGACTAGTTTATGGCATCAAACAAACAAATAAACAAATGAATATGACTGTTTGCTCCTCTCTATTGCTGGAATAATGATGCCTCATAGGTCTGGTTTTGGCAAGGGAAGTGCATGGCAGGAGGATGGACTAGATAGCCCTTATGGTCTCTTCCAACTCTATTTATTATTCTCTGATTCCAAGTGCTTTCTTTCTGCAAAGGCTTCCTCCCGCCCCTGATTTCTCTTTTGCCTGCGTGAAACATCCCCCAGGAGAAGAATGCGCTGAAATAATCATCGCTTCCAAAGAATTCGAAGGAAACCACCCACTCACCTTCCAGGGCTTTTCTGGAATGGGAGGATCTTCGATGTCCGCCTCCACATCAGTAGCGTGAACCCAAGTGTCGTAGCTGAGAGGAAAAAGCAAAAAGGGAAGGTGAAAACCGATCCCTCAGGCGGTTCCACCAGAATGGCAGAGGTGTCTTAGAAAAGCCTGCATTATGCTCACTGCAACCGTTTTCAAAAATAAGCATTTCCATTCAGAAAAGATCACACAACATCCCAAGGCTGGGATTTACACAAGTTTTGGGAAATGCCTAATTAAGCATTCCAGGAATTTGCAAAACCATTGAATGACTATATCAGGTGACATCAAAATTTGGGTCAGAGCATCGAAATCAGTGCCACGAAGGAGCAGATTTGGGGGCAAGATTGCTTACTACTATCTTCAAAAGGGATTTCTCAAATAGGAGCAGGAGCACTGCTTTGTATGTTATAATTTTAGTTATGTTTTCACAACACTTGCTATACCATGCATGGGCAAGCTTGGGCCCTCCCTCCAGGTGTTTTGGACTTCAACTCCCACAATTCCTAACAGCCGGTCGGCTGTTAGGAATTGTGGGAGTTGGAGTCCAAAACACCTGGAAGGAGAGCCCAAGTTGACCCATGGCTGGTGTAGAAAGTGTTGTGAAAATATAACCAAAATAATAACATAAATGTCGAAGGCTTTCATGGCTGGAATCACTGGGTTGTTGTAGGTTTTTTCAGGCTACATGGCCATGTTCTAGAGGCATTTCTCCTGACATTTTGCCTGCATCTATGGCAAGCATCCTCAGAGGTAGTGAGGTCTGTTGGAACTACCCTTTGGACAACATGAAGGCGTTCCTATGGCCCCAAGCCTCTCTCTCGCCTCCCAGCAATCCTGACACTCCTTCGCACTTTCAGTTCCAAGCGATCAGCCCTATCTAACTCACCGGCCCCATCAAGGTCAAATCCCTCGTTAGCTGGTTAAGAACTATCCTCCCTTCCTGCATCCTCCCTTCCTTCACCAGACACCTGGCTCTCACTATCAGTAGTTTCACTTTCCCTAGCGTCAACCCTTGCTGTGGGAAACAACTGAACTTCTGGGTTGTTGTAGGTTTTTCCGGGCTATATGGCCATGTTCTATAGGCACTTTCTCCTGACATTTCGCCTGCATCTATGGCAAGCATCCTCAGAGGTAGTGAGGTCTGTTGGAACTAGGAAAATGGGTTTATATATCTGTGGAATGACCAGGGTGGGACAAAGGACTCTTGTCTGCTGGAGCTAGGTGTGAATGTTTCAACTGACCACCTTGATTAGCATTTAATAGCTTGGAAGTGCCTGGGGGGAATCTTTTGTTGAGAGTGATTTGATGTGCCTGATTGTTTACTCTCTGTTGTTGCTGTTGTAATTTTAGAGTTTTTTAATACTGGTAGCCAGATTTTGTTCATTTTCATGGTTTCCTCCTTTCTGTTGAAATTGTCCACATGCTTCTTGTGTATTTCAATGGCTTCTCTGTGTAGCCTGACATGGTGGTTGTGAGAGTGGTCCAGCATTTCTGTGTTCTCAAATAATATGCTGTGTCCAGGTTGGTTCATCAGGTGCTCTGCTATGGCTGACTTCTCTGGTTGAAGTAGTCTGCAGTGCCTTTCGTGTTCCTTGATTCATGTTTGGGCAATGCTGCGTTTGGTGGTTAGACTTGTCCACAGCTGCATGGAATACGGTAGACTCCTGCAGAGGTGAGAGGATCCCTCTTCTCCTCCACCTCAGACATTAGAATACTCCACCTGGATACTCCACCTCAGACATCAGAAGAGCTGCAAGACCAAGAACAAGTCACGAGAGTAAAGATGAAGATCCACCCAGAGGAAAGGTGTTCTTGCCATACATCAAGGGAACCACTGACTGCATAGGGAAGCTGATGAGGAAACACAACATACAAACCACCCACAGACCCACCAAGAAAATCCAACAAATGCTACGTTCAGCAAAGGACAAGAGGGATCCTCTCACTTCTGCAGGAGTCTACCGTATACCATGCAGCTGTGGACAAGTCTACATAGGGACCACCAAACGCAGCATTGCCCAAACACGAATCAAGGAACATGAAAGGCACTGCTGGGTAATTCAACCAGAGAAGTCAACCATAGAAGAGCACCTGGTCATTCCACAGATATATAAACCCATTTTCCTACTTCCAACAGACCTCACTACCTCTGAAGATGCTTGCCATAGATGCAGGCGAAACGTCAGGAGAAAATGCCTATAGAACATGGCCATATAGCCCGAAAAAACCTATAACAACCCAGTGATTCCGGCCATGAAAGCCTTCGACAACTGAACTTCTGCCCGCTGGTCCTGGTCTTCCTCATCTAACACAGGAACATCCTTACTCTGAATCTGAATCTCATCATCCCCATCAGAATCATTGACACCATCACTCTGTGAGTCCAGCTGAGTTACAACACAGAGGATGGGAAAGGGACAAATATGGTTGTGACGCGGCTTTTCCGATTCTGTTACCTGTCAGGGTAATAGCCCCAGTGCACAAGGACCTGCTTGTCTTTCTTCATCACGGGTCTAAACCACTCTTCTGAAAAAGAACAAAAACAAAACAGGAGAAAGCCATCCAGTTAAAATCACCCGCAACTTTACAAGCAGCAAAAGCACATTAATGTGTCTCATCCAGAGAAAATTAACAAGCGGCTGTGTCACAAATCTCATAAATATTTTTCATTAATGGATGGTCCAACCAGGGAGGATTCAGGGTGAACGGTAGGAGAGAGCAGCAGCTGAAACAGAGTCGAGAATAACGGCTACCAGAGGAAGTTGTTGCGCATAGCGTGTTTCAGTCAGGTCCAATGCAGAAGACACAAGAACATCGCACTTTACTCTTATCAGCAGAGTTAAAACATAAACTTGCAATGTTGCAAACAAAAACAAACAGTGCAACAAACTTACATAGTCCTTGTAAGCAATACAGGATAAGGCATCTTCATCCAAATGAGAGAGCAGTAGAAATGGTTTATTATTTATTTATTTGCAGTATTTATATTCCACCCTTCTCACCCCGCAAGGGACTCAGGGCGGATTACAATGTACATATACATGGCAAACATTCAATGCCATAGACACACAACATATCTAGACAGACACACAGAGGCTATTTAATATTCCAGCTTTTTCATGAGGGTATTCTGGCCACCAGGGGAGCTGTCACTTCACTGTCCATCTGTGACACTTATGAAGTACTTCCTCATTCTTTGCATGTTTGCTGGAGATTTTTATGCAAAATGCCTGAGTAAAGGCGCCTCAGAGCAAAGCTAAACTGTATTCTAAACCCCATATAGTTATACCCCACTGGGTGTGATCCAAACTTACTAGTTGACCTACATTAGCAGCTGCACACAATAATCAACAGTATAAGGTTTTCTTTAACACATACACATACTTGATCCTGTTACAATTACTGTAACAGAAGTGAGTAAGAGCTTAGGAAGGCTGAAAGGCAGTGTAGTGCAGAAGCATACTGGAACTGGGTCCAATATGCCAGATTTGAAATGGGAGCAAATAAGGAAAGAGTGGCTCCCCTATGATACCCATGGCAAGAAAGGATTCCAAACTGTCAACAACTTTACACAGTACAACTCAAGTTAAGTTTTGGAAAATGGCATTCATAACCTTTTAGAAAAACGAAGAATCTCCATAGGCTTTTGGAAGTGCGACCCTTTTGGAGATCGATTGGTATTCACATTATTTGGAATAATTATAGCCTTTTGGAAAGGCATGGCCTTATTAGAGATCATAACCTTTTGGAAAGTATGATCTTCCCAAGAAGAGTTCAAAACTTGCTTGAATCAACCTCCTCCTTAGTGTAAATGTCCACTAGTATTTCTGCAAGGCAGTTAGGTTTCTCAGCTGCTAGACTGATAAACGTAGATATCACTTTGAACTGTTAGGAACAAAGATATGCCAATGCACAAAAAACAGCAGAGTTTCAGAAGTGTCCTTTTCATTTGCCCAAAAAACTCTCCCTTAAAATATCCTGGTTTAAATCATGCTCTCAAGAGACCAAAAATAGGTAGTCTTTGTTAAAAGTAACATAGTTGATTTACTCACGAACTTCATGCATTCAGCATACAGGTACATAACTTGTCAATCAAGTTACATATAGGATTTGAAGTGATTCTCCATGCAGATAATACAGGGAATTAGAATCAACAGTCCAAAGTGTAAAGAAGTGGCTCCCAACCTGTGGGCTGTGGCCAACAGTGGGTCGCGAGAACAAAAATCCGGTCCGCAAACCTCCTTCCTCTTTTATTTTACTTTATTTCCGCTCCTTTCCGCAGAGCTTACCAGCCCCACCACTTTTGGCATTAATGCTGGAGAGTGATCTCCGGTCAAAAAAGGTTGGGAACCACTGGTCTAAAGCATCTCTCTGTCCTGAGAGTCTAATGGAGTCTGTGTTTCCAAAATGGAGTCTGAGCTCTAAACAATCTCAGGTCTGATCACATGGTCTGCAGTCCCTCCCACAACACAGTGTTAAGGAAAACTGCATACCAATACAGTAAGCAAAGCAGAATAATTTGCTAACAAATTATATCTTTATTGATTTGCAGTATTTGTATACCGCCCTTCTCAACCCCAAAAGGGATTCAGGGTGGTTCACTAGTGGAGGGTTGGAGAAGGTTGCAATTTCCAACATTAAGGACACAGTAGTGTTCAATGCTACCCTGGGAGTTAAAACTGATTATAAAAATTATCTGAAAATCAAGTCAGGGTCTGCAGACATGTTGATTTTGCAGTAAATCATTTGAAGGACTTTGCAATAAATAAAGGACTACAATCAGCCCACGCATTCGCTGGGATTAGGAAGATGAAACCGCCACGAAAGTGGAAAAAACAACCAAATAAAAACCTATTTTTAAATTTAAGAGGACATCTCTCTAGGAATCTCTAGAGCCCCCAGTGCAATCCTATGGTCAACTGATCTCCCCCTAATCTCTCAGCATCTTCCCTAATACGTATATAGTCGAAGATGCTGAGACCAACAAATGCTTGGAAATGCGAAAGAACACACTGTTTTGGCTTGTCCTGAAGCACAACTAAGAGTCAGACATGATTTGGGACTGTGACGATGCCAGCACGGCTGCCGCCTTCTAGGGCACGCTCCCCCTGAGGCCAGGCAAAGCGCGGAGCAAGCTGCCAACGAGTTCTGAAGAGTTTTTGATGGCTTCATTTGGCTCTTTCATGACACTTCCATTGTGTGAGCCACCTTGGGACACCTGAGAGGGACAGGTAATCTAAACACATTTCAAATTCAAGGGCATTTCACACAAGAAGGAGTTCTGTGGATTCTTCACTTTCCGCAGTATAACTGAGTTGTGCGAGTCTGGATCGGTTGGGTCACCTTGATTCTCTCAGAAAAAAAACTCAGGACATATTTAAATACTTTAAATGTATAATAATAATAATAATAATAATAGTCAGGCCATGAAGGAGGAATCACTGAATCTCAATAAGACGACTACACAGAGAAGCCATTGAAATCCACAAGCATGTGGACAATTTCAACAGAAAGGAGGAAACCATGAAAATGAACAAAATCTGGCTACCAGTATTAAAAAAAACTCTAAAATTACAACAGCAAAACAACAGGGAGGAAACAATCAAGGACACTTAATCACCTCTCAACAAAAGATTGCCCCAGGCACTGCCAGGCCATCAAATGCTAATCAAGTGGTCAGTTGAAACATTCACACCTAGCTCCAATAGGCAAGAGTTCTTTGTCCCGCCCTGGTCATTCCACTGATATATAAACCAATTTTCCTAGTTCCAACAGACCTCATTACCTCTGAGGATGCTTGCCATAGATGCAGGCAAAAGGTCAGGAGAGAATGCCTCTAGAACATGGCCATATAGCCCGAAAAAACCTACAACAACTCAATAAGAAGACTTCAGAATCCCGGAGTCCAAAACCAATTCATGTAATTATAGAATCACAAAATCCTAGAGTTGGAAGACACCTCGTGGGCCATTCAGTCCAACCCCATTCTGCCAAGAAGCAGGAAAATTGCATTCAAAGCACCCTGACAGATGGCCATCCAGCCTCTGCTTAACAGCCTTCAAAGAAGGAGCCTCCACCACACTCTGGGGCAGAGAGAGTGTTCGACTGCTGAATAGTTTTCACAGTGAGGAAGTTCTTCCTCATGTTCAGGTGGAATCTCCTTTCCTATAGTTTGAAGCCATTGCTACACTGTGTTCTAGACTCCAGGGCAGCAGAAAACAAGCCTGCTCTCTCTTCCCTATGACTTCCCCTCACTTCTTGACCCATGGCTCTCATCATGTCTCTTCTTAGCCTTCTCTTCTGCAGGCTAATCCTGCCCAGCTCTTTCAGGTGCTCCTCATAGGGCTTGTTCTTCAGACCCTTGATCCTTTGAGTTGCCCTCTTCCTCGGGACACAGTATTCCAGCTTAGTCAACATCTCCTTTCAATTGGGGTGCCCAGAATTGGACACAGTGTCATTTCAGGTGTGGCCTGACCAAAGCAGAATAGAGCATGGGGAGCATGACTTCCATGGATCTAGACCAGTGGTTCCCAACTTGTAGTCCATGGACTACAAGTTCTTGCAGTGGTCTGCAAGAACTAAAAAATGGTCCGCAGCTTCACCATTACGACATAGTTGCACTAAGAGTGACTGGTCTCACAAACCCCTCTTATAGTGCCAAGGCAATGGGTATGCCGGGAGGGGAGACATTGTTTACCCACAAAAGGCATGATAACAATCACACTGTGTCTTCCTGAGTACTGCATCTCCTCCTCCTCCCTTCCCCGAGCGTATCTGTTTCATGTGACCCCTGGAAGCGGGGGCACCTTGGTGTCTTTTTTTTTGGTCTGTTCCTGGGGATATTTGGGATGCTGATTCTGGATAGACCACATCAGCTGTAGATTATTGAATATGGTTTTCTCTGGGAAGCAACAAGTTGATGGCCTATGTTCTGTATCAGAAACTAGAGCTGATGCTATTTTCTGAATCATCACCCCAAATAACCAAACTGAATATGAAGTTGACCAAAAACTGATTCACTGGGATTGTGGCGCAGCTGTCTGAGTGTCAACTGCATTAAGATCCCTCCTGACCAAAAGGTCATGAGTTCGAAGCCAGCGCGGGTTGGAGTGAGCTTCCAACCTATTGTGTAGCTTGTCGTCGACCTTTGCAACTCGAAAGTCAGTTGCATCTGTCAAGTAGGAAAATTAGGTACCACCTATGTGTGGAGAGGCTAATTTAACAAATTTACGAGACCATAAAAAAGACTCCAGAAAGCATGTGGGAAATGCGGAAGTACTTCATCAGTGTTGGAGATGGACAATGAAAGCGACAACACCCCAGCAGCCAGAAAAGTTAAGTAGCCTCTTACTATATCTGTTGTGTGTCTATGGCATTGAATGTTTGCCATATATGTGTACATTGTAATCCGCCCTGAGTCCCCTGCAGGGTGAGAAGGGCGGAATAGAAATATTGTAAATAAATAAATAAATAACCTTTTTGGTACTAATGTCACGTGGTCCCTGGTCAAAAAAAGGTTGGGAACCATTGATCTAGATACTATACATCTATTTATGCAGGCCAAAACCCCACTGGCTTTCTCAGCTGCCGAATGACATTGTTGGCCCATGTTTAACTTGTTGTCCACGAGGACAGATGCTGAGCGCTGGCTTTTGCTTCCAGACAGAGTTCCTGTTTCAACTTCATCCTGAGTCTGAACACCTGCGAAAGCCTTTCCTCCCAAACCCATTCCTTCCATTACATTAAATCCAGACCGTCTCAGGCCGAGAAGCAACAGCACCTCAAAGCCTGCCCCTCCCATCTCTTCTCTTTTGCTAGCATCCTTCACACCAAGCCAAGCACTTTGTGGGGACAGGAGGGTTAATCTGCAGCCACAGGAAAGGAAAAGGAAATCATACTTTCTCTCAGACAAAGGAAACATAACCAGGCTTTTAAGTAAGACTTCATTCCCTGAAAGCTGAAATGCTATTTATTTGAAGTGAGACATCCCATCCTCCCCTGAGGGAGCAGCTGGCTGACAGGGCAGAATTTCAAGGCCAAGTGGGTCTCTGAAGACAGACGCATCAAGGTTTCTGCTACCATCAAGGCCACAGCAAGGAAATCTACTTCCCTCCTTTTGAGAAAACACCAAGCCCTTTCCAGATTGAGTGACAGCAAACTTCTGATCCTCAAGTTCTTTAACAGGGCAAGAAGAAAAGCTGGAAAGCAAGTGGGACCCTGATGTTTGGTCCTGGATTCAGATTCCGGGAACCAAGTTTCGAATCCCCACTCGGTCATGAAAAGCCATTGGGAGACCTTCAGCAAAACTCACTGTCTCAACCTCAAAGAGAGGCAAAAGGCAAAACCCCACTGAGCAAACCTTGGAAAGAAAACTCTTCTCATTTGGGCTGACATGCGTTGAAAAGGATTTGAAGGCACATAACAATAAGGCAATACTATCACAGGGGATGGATCTACACCAAGAGTCCTCAAACTAAGGCCCGGGGGCCAGATACGGCCCTCCAAGGTCACTTACCCGGCCCTAGCTCAGGGTCAACCTAAGTGCAAATAACTTGAAAGCACAACAACAACAACAACCCTATCTCATCAACCAAAAGCAGGCCCACACTTCCCTTTGAAATATTAATAAGTTTATATTTGTTAAAATTGTTCTTCATTTTAATTATTGTAATGTTTTAAGTGTTTTGGGTTTTTTACACTACAAATAAGATATGTGCAGTGTGCACAGAAATTCATTCATGTTTTATTCAAATTATAATCCGGCCCTCCAACAGTTTGAGGGACCGTGACCTGGCCCTCTGTTTAAAAACTTTGAGGACCCCTGATCTACACTGTCCTATAATGCCATTCCAAACTGCATTACATGGCTGTGTAAATCCAGACGGTTTTTCATGGCCACTACACCTAGACCAGGGGTCCTCAAACTAAGGTCCGGGGGCTGGATACAGCCCTCCAAGGTTATTTACCCAGCCCTCGCTCAGGGTCAACCTAAGTCTGAAACTACTTGAAAGCACACAACAATAACAATCCTATATCATCAGCCAAAAGCAGGCCCACAATTCCCATTGAAATACTAATAAGCTTATATTTATTAAATTTGTTTTTCATTTTAATTATTGTATTGTTTTAAAGTGTTTTTTTGCACTACAAATAAAATATGTGCAGTGTGCATAGGAATTCATTCATTTTTTTTTTCAAATTATAATCTGCCCCTCCAACAGTTTGAGGGACTATGAACTGGCCCTCTGTTTGAAAAGTTTGTGGACCCCTGACCTAGACGGATCTTCCTAGATTGCTTAGAATCAGAAACAACCTTTAATTTCAGACCACAATGTGCGAGAAAGTAAGCGGGAGAAATGCCAGGAGGGAATGAACGGATCTCAAAGAATTCAGTACCTTCTACACTGCCATATAACCCCAGTTTCAGAATGCAGGTTAACTGCATTGAACTGGATTAGATGGCAGCGTACTCATATAATCCAGTTGGCAGCATACTCAGATAATCCAGTTCAATGAGGTTCAATCTGCATTGCATGAGTCCCAGCCATAGATTTTAAATGTGTTTTGTGCTATCATTCAATGTTTGTGCTATTGTGTATGAGATTTATTTTAATTGCTTTGTATTAGTATTTGTATTTTGCTTTGTATTGTGGTTGTTATTGCTCGTATTGATGTATTGTGGGCTCGGCATCATGTAAGCCGCACCGAGTCCCTTGGGAGATGGTAGCAGGGTATAAATTATTATTATTACTATTATTATTATTATTATTATTATTATCTACACTGATTGTTACAATGCAGTACAAACTGGCAGTGCAGATGGGGCCATTGTTAGAACACAAGACACACAACAAAGAGAAGGCCAATGAGTCGAAGGCACTAAAAAAGAAGAGAAATATTGCCATCTAGTGGAAGACTCCTGTGTCAACAGAACCAAGGTTTTTTTTATTTAGTTTTGAGTATTCCTAACCCAAAATGCTTGGAGCCAGAAATGTATTGGAATTTTTTCCTCCCATATTTTGGAATACCTGCAGTTACATCTAAGCAACTAAAGAGTGATCTTAGAGATGAGACCCAAATCTAAACACAACATTCACTTATGTTTCATATACACACATCGTGGAGGTAATTTTATATACAGAACTAGCAGTCCCTTGCCATGCGTTGCTGTGGCCCAGTCTGTGTATATGTGTTTTGTGTGTGTGTGTGTGTATGTGTGTGTATATGTGTATATATGTGGTTTTGCTCATGCATTGTGATGTATTTTTTATTTTTGCATTTTTAAGTCTCTTCTGCTGTGTTTTTCAGTATTTTTATGACTGATGGTCACTCATTGGTCTGATAGGTGATTGTGTCCAAATTTGGTGTCAATTTGCCCAGTCGTTTTTGAGTTATGTTAATCCCACAAACGAACATTACATTTTTATCTATATAGATGTGCGAGAAAGTAAGCAGGAGAAAATGATTTTCCGTAATTTTGTGAATGAAATGAAGTGTTCACAGATTGGTTATCAGAAAGCCAAGGTGTCACTCTCTCAGCCCCTCCTGTAAACAATTTTGGAGAACTCTGGATTTTTCATTTCTGGATAAGGGATATTCAAGTGGTATTAAATTGGCATGGCAACCTATTAATACATGCAAAGTACCACACATACTCAAGTATAAGCCAACCCAAATATACACCGAGGCACCTAATTTTGCCACAAAAAACTTGGAAAATGTATTGACTCGAGTATAAGCCAAGGGAGGGAAATGCAGCTGCTACTGGTAAATTTCAAAATAAAAATAGATACCAAAAAAATTACATTAATTGAGGCAGTGTGTTGAATGTTTTTGAATATTTTAATAAAACTGTAAGTTAAGATAAGACTGCCCAATTCTGATTAAACCATTATTCTGACTTTCTTCAATGTAAATGTGCTTTCGTATCCTTCCAATAATAATAGAGTAAAATAATAAATGCAATAATAACAATAATAGAGTAAAATAATGGAAATGTAATAACCACAGTAATAATGGAGTAAAACAATAAATGTAATAATAATAGAGTAAAATAATAAATGCAATAATAATAGAGTAAAATCATAAATGCAATAATAATAACAATAGAGTAAAATAATGGAAATGTAATAATAACAGTAATAATGGAGTAAAACAATAAATGTAATAATAATAGAGTAAAATAATAAATGAAATAATAATAACAGTAATATAGTAAAATAATGGAAATGTAATAATAACAGTAATAATGGAGTAAAACAATAAATGTAATAATAATAAAGTAAAATAATAAATGCAATAATAATACAGTAAAATAATAAATGCACTAATAATAATAGAGTATAATAATAAATGAATGAATAATAAATAGAGCAAAATAATAAATGTAATAATAGATTAAATTGAGAAATGTAATAATAACAATAGAGCAAAATAATAAACGTAATAAAAATAATTACAGAGTAAATATCCTTGATTTGAGTATAAGCCAGGGGGAGGGGCTTTTTCAGCCTTAAAAAAGGGCTGAAAATCTCTGTTTATACTCGAGTATATACAGAAAGTCAGAAAACAATTCTAGCAAAACTCAAGGCCCGTTTCAAAACATGCCTCCTTTCCCTTGAGTTGTGTGCTAGGCATTTTTGTGCTGCAATCAACAAAAACATAAATACCTAGAAGGGATGCTCAAGTGGTAGAAGGGAAGTTCAACAGAGGACAAACTGTATCAGTAATAAATGACTGGATTTAAAACCAGCCATGGGACTTTGCTTTACTAATAAATATATAAATAACTGCTTGCTTTACAAGACTAACAGATATATGAATAAATTTACTGCTGACAGTCAGGTGGCATGTGGGAAGTATCCAATCATGGTGGATTGCCCTTTGTGCCATCCCAAGAATTCCTTGCCACGTCCTTTTTGAAACATCTTAGTGTTCAATGTCACAAGACAAAAACAACTGATTCATAATGTGCCTTTTATTTTAAAATATTTTAGTTTAGCTTTTGGTCCTTTGAGGTGGTTCACAAGACAAAATCCCCAAAGTTCAAGAATGAAACACAAAATAAATAACCTATATTTACCTTCATCCAATGAGGTAGGAACAGGATAAACATGGTGGGTGGCTTTAGACTTGTCATCAGTGACGGTTCCCTAGGAAAGAAGCAGGTACAGATTATTATATCAGAAACAGGTACAACTATCTGTTTATTCTTACAAGAAAAATGTTTCTCCCCAAAAAACGAGCCAAGTTTGGAACCTGAGTGCAAGCCAACATTGGCTCTCAGAAGACAGATCGTTTCCTGACCCATGTTCCTGATTCGAAGGGTGAAAACAGAAGCAGCCAGGTTGTTTTGCAAAGTGAACCACAGAGAGTTATACCTGGTTTTCAAAGTAATGGCAACACTAATGAATCAAAATGAGAAACACCTGGGGAAAACAACCTGAGCAAAGAGCAGGTGGCAAATAGCCAGGAGAAGGTGAAGTCAGTGCAGTCCTAAAAACAATAACAACAACAACAACAACAATAACTTTATTTATACCCCGCCACCATCTCCGCAAGGGACTCGGAGCGGCTTACATGAGGCCAAGCCCAACAACACATCAATAAAACAAGAAAGCAATAAACAAAAACAATACAATTAATATAAATCACATATAAACATTAACACACAAGGATTTAAAAACCTATGGCTGGGCCAAATGTAATAATTTAAAATTAAAAAACAAGGTAGGATATATCTGGTAGGAGGGTTTTAAAAAAATGAGGGGAGCGCAATCCAACGAATAGTTAAAGTGCAAAACAGATTTGTGTCTGGACACACAATAGAATTGATCTATAGAAATTTTTATCAATTTGTTATTTTCCTTGCCTCATCTCACACCACAAAAATGTTGCAAACTACGGTTGTTTAATGAGTTTCATACAAAAGCTAAACAGACTACCCTTATTTACTTGAGTCTAATGCGCCACTGAATCTAGTGCTCACCTTAATTTTCGAAACACTAAAACCAAAAAAAGTATTTGTTGTTGAATGTCATACGCAGCAGCAAAAGGTACACTCTTTGTAATTTGGCCACTACAATTGCTGCATGCTTAGAATTCCTTCTTCAAAACCAAAAATGTTAAGAGCACCAAAGCTTCCAGCAATGGAAAGGAAGACCTTGGGGTGCATCTATGCCAGGTTGCCCAGGCCTGACCTATGCTGTAGGATGAATCCACTTTAACTGCCTTGGTTCAATGCTATGAAGTCAATGCTATGAAGTCATGGGAGATGCATGCACTCGCTGGAACACCTCAGCAAGCGAGAGTCCAAAAGTGGCAGGCTCAAACCCAGAACCTCAATCAATGGCTGATACCAAATGAGAGACTCCCCCCTGGGCACACAGAAGACTGGGTGACTTGGAAGGCACTGAACAGACTGCGCTCTGGCACCACGAGATGCAGAGCTAACCTCAAGAAATGTGGGCTACAAAGTGGAATCCATGACATGCGAGTGCGGAGAAGAGCAAACCACAGACCACCTATTGCAATTTAACCTGAGCCCTGCCACATGCACAAGGGAGGACCTTCTTATCGTAACACCAGAGGCACTCCAAGTGGCCAGCTAAATGTCAAAGGACATTTAATCAACTACCAAGCCTGCAAACTGTGTGTTTTGCTTGTTTGTTTGTTAAAAAATGCAATACAACTATTTGGCTTGCTCCTGACACAATAAAAAAATGGGAGATGCAGTTTTACAAGGTCTTGGGAATCCTCAACCAAAGAATGCTGATGCCTCAGTAAACTACAAATCCCAAGATGACATAGCATTGAGCCATGGCAATTAAATTACAGGTGACATCCCTCAATGTGGAATTCCAGGTGTAGCTCCCAAAGCAGCTTCCTCTATTGCTTTGACTCAGCATTAAGATTACCATATTACGTGAATCTAACGCACACCCTAATTTTGGCAAGGGGATTTAGCCCAAAAATGTGAGTGACTCCCATGACCAACGGAAAATACTGGAAGGCTTTGGTGAGCATTGACCTTGAATTAAGGAGTTGTAGTTCACCTACATCCAGAGAGTGCTATGGACTCAAACAATGATGGAACTGGACCAAACTTGCCACAAATACTCAATATGCCCAAATGTGAACATTGGTGGAGTTTGTGGGAAAAAGACCTTGACATTTGGGAGTTGTAGTTGCTGGGATTTATAGTTCAACTACAATCAAAGAGCATTCTGAACCCCACCAATGATAGAATTGGATTAAACTTCCTACACAGAAACCCCATGACCAACAGAAAATACAGTTTTTTCGGATGGTCTCTGGCAACCCTTCTGACACCCCCAGGGGTCCCAACCCCCAAGTTGAGAAACGCTGAGCTAGGCCAAAGGCTTAAGACTTCAGTGAACCGGTAGGCTTGCAGAAAGCTTACAAAACTACATTACAGAATTGGTTTAAATCAGGCCTCTAAGGGGAGGAGATTGTGTAACAATCCAATTCAGGCTACCGATCACAGAAGAAAGGCTGAAGGAGAACGGTCCCTCACCACTTGCTCATTCTGGCTCTTTCTTCCTGGCAGAGATAATGGGGCCTCCAGGTTAGAACAAGGAGAAGCAAGAGAGGCAATCCTGACTTGAAAATCCAGTTCTTAATAAGGTCCTGTGAGGACATGTCTAAGGAACTGCGCTGCCAAAGGCCTTCTCGCAGAGACAGCAGGAAGCAACACTGGAACATTACTGATAATGTCTGCTTTCAGGACCATGCTCTGCCCACCAGGTGTTTTGGCCATCCACTCCCGGTAGGCTTTTAAGAATCGTGGGATTGGAAGTCCAAGACACCTGGAGGGCTGAAGTTTGCCCATGCCTGACTTAAGAGAGAAAATGCTGCAACATGCTCAGCGTGGCACTGCACATCTCTTACCTGGTGACGTTTCACAATGTCTTTTAGCTTATTGGCCAACTTGAGCTCTATATCTGGAACGAGGTAGATGGTCGGCCTGCTCAGACAGTTATTCTAAAAACCAAAGACAATCAGTATCAGAAATCAGTAAAGCAGTCACAGGAGATGAAGTATCAATAGCATCATCTGATTTCCTCCCTACTTGAATCTAATACAATCTGCAAGAATATTCTAGAGCCATAGCAATGATGGAATTAAAAAGAAGCACACATTTATTTCTAGAGATACTCATAGCAAGGTCAGCAATTCCTATGGATATCACATTTACAATACAGTGTTCCCTCACTTATCACGGGTGTTGCGTTCCAGGACCACCCACGAAAAGTGAAAATCCGCGAAGTTGGGCTATTTGTCAAGTAAAAACAAAAACAGAAAACATCCCTGTCTTTACTGATCATCTTGTGAGTGTTTATTTAGTCATATTATTAAGTCTATTTTTTGTTGTTTAAGATATTCTTTACCAGGTCCCAATTTGTCTGGGTTTTTTTTTTGGTAAGCCTTGGTTTGGGGTAATCCAATAAGTAAGCTTGTCCATATTCATAACCTCCAAGACTTTCTTCAGCCAGTCCTCTTTTTTGGGGATCTCCTTTTGTCTCCAATTTTTGGCAAATTTAATTCTCAACGCAATCGCTAAATAGTTAAAAAGGATTTCTTTCCACTATGTCCAACATGCCTAGCAAGTAATATTCCGTTTCTTTTTCTATTTTTATATTTAGTATTTTTTGTATCTCCAAATGGATCTCTGTCCAAAACTCTTTTACTTTTGAACAAGGCCACCAAACGTGGAAAAAAGTTCCAGTTTGTTGCCCGCATTTCCAACATTCGTCCGAAGTGTTTTTATAACATTTTGAGATTTTATAAGGGGTTAGATACAACCTATAAATCATTTTCATCCAATTCTCTTTTAGTTCAATCGCATAGGTGTATTTCATCTTTCGATTGCAAATTTTTTCCCATTTTTCTAATTGATTTTCTAATTTTACTTGACAGAGATTGACAATAATGAACTCACAACCACCGAAGAATAGAAGGAAGTCAAACCATTTTTTTCTTTTCTTTTTTCTCTTTTCTCTTTCTACCCAATTTTTTGTATCTGTAGAAGTAGTTCATTTCCTACTTTTCTATCTTCTTCACGGAGCCCCCTGTGCCGGCAGGACTGAAGACCGACAGGTCGCAGGTTCGCATCCGGGGAGAGGTGGATGAGCTCCCTCTACCAGCTCCAGCTCCTCATGTGAGGACATGAGAGAAGCCTCCCACAAGGATGATAAAAACATCAAAATCATCCGGGAGTCCCCTGGGCAACGTCCTTGCAGGCGGCCAATTCTCTCACACCAAAAGTGACTTGCAGATTATTTATTTATTATTTATTTCTTGCATTTATTAACCGCCCCTCTCAGCCCGGAGGCGACTCTCAAGTCTCTCCTGACACGACAAAAAAAATCTTCTTCACAATATTCCCCCACTTACCTTGTAATAAAGTACTTGTTCTCAATAAAAATTAATTACCAAAAAAAAAGGAAGAGGGCTTTAAGGCCATGACTTACATATTGCATTGTTTTTCCTCTCTCTCTCTTTTTAATGATTACTTGCCTCTCTCCCGAGGGGGAGGATGAAACCCCCTTCCACACTTCATCATTGCCAGTAGGCAAAAACCTGTGAAACAGATAGTCTGCGGAAAGCGAACTGCGAAATAGTGAGGGAACACTGTAAATCTCAAACAAAGCATTCACCTCTGAAAACAGCAATGGTCCCAACACCAAGTATTGTTATTATTATTATTAGATTAAAATTCTTGCCTGCACTAATGTTTTCTCAATGTTCATAAACATTTCTACATTTCGGTCCATCCGGGAAGGATTTTGCAAGTCAAACCTTCGCCTGCAAAGAAAAATATATGCGCCATGATTCAAATACTGATGAAACTTTAGACTTGTTTGGCTATTGTTCAATATAGCATTAAGGCCATATAAAGCTAGGTTATCATATTACAACAATCCAGAGAGAGAGAGAGATTATTGTTCTTTCCAAATGAAAAGGCCACACTTTCCCCAAACCATTTCATCAGAAGAGGTTTTGCAAATGCAATTCCAAAACACAGAAAGCACTAAGTAATTTGTAAACATTTAGGCTTAATGACCTCAGGAAATCCCATATAATTGATATGGGAAGGAATAAGGAACATAATCACAGAATCATAGAATCAAAGAGTTGGAAGAGACCTCATGGGCCATCCAGTCCAACCCCCTGCCAAGAAGCAGGAATATTGCATTCAAATCCCCCCTGACAGATGGCCATCCAGCCTCTGTTTAAAAGCTTCCAAAGAAGGAGCCTCCACCACACTCCGGGGCAGAGAGTTCCACTGCTGAATGGCTCTCACAGTCAGGAAGTTCTTCCTCATGTTCAGATGGAATCTCCTCTCTTGTAGTTTGAAGCCACTGTTCCGTGTCCTAGTTTCCAGGGCAGCAGAAAACAAGCCTGCTCCCTCCTCCCCATGACTTCCTCTCATGTATTTATACATGGCTATCATGTCTCCTCTCAGCCTTCTCTTCTTTAGGCTAAACATGCCCAGCTCCTTAAGCCGCTCCTCATAGGGCTTGTTCTCCAGGCCCTCCTCTGGACACATTCCAGCTTGTCAATAAGCCTAGCACTGGGTTCCCCAGTCACTAACAACTAGTAGAATGTCAGGAAATCTAATCGTTCAGGTGGAAAACGTATGATATTCCTATTAATCCATGCATTAAGCCACAAAGCTGAACTTAGAAATGAAGAAAAAAACTTGTGATTATTTTACTCACAGTGGAAAAACTTATAATGGCAAAAAATTGGAAGATAGTAACCAATTTCACAACGGAAGCATGTTATGCAGAGGTAAGGAATGTAGCCTTAAATAATAAACTATCAATGAAAATTAGGGTGTTCAGGAGAAATTAAAAGATCGGATTTTTATTCATACTGGTTGGATTTCATCAAATACATTTTAGACAGTGATAACAGAAAACAATACAACCTTGTTGGTCAGGAAGTTTGGATATGACATTTGTTTACTGGTTGAAGCATAAATTAATGGCAAAGGAAATGATACTTGTGCAGGCCTTGGTGGTGGGGTTATGTGTTTGTAAAATGTTCATTGTTTGGGTTCTGTTTACACTGTAATCTGTTAATGTATGTAAATTAAAATATATATTTTAAAACCTAGGCGTCATGTGTAGGTTGGACGTTTGTAACTTGGGGACTGCCTATATAACAAATGGTGTGGACTGGAAGTGTTTGGTATTTTGAATGTTGACACAGGTTCGCAGCTTGGGAGTGATCCTGGACTCATTGCTGAGCCTGGAAACCCAGGTCTTGGCGGTGGCCGGGAGAGCTTTTGCACAATTAAAGCTTGTGCGCCAGCTGCGCCCATACCTTGGGAAGTCTGACTTGGCCACGGTGGTCCACACTCTGGTTACATCCCGAATAGACTACTGCAGCGCTTTCTACATGGGGCTGCCTTTGAAAATTTCTCGGAAGCTCCAATTAGTCCTGCGGTCAGCGACCAGGTTGTTAACTGGAGCTGCGTACAGGGAGCGTACCACTCCTCTGTTGTGCCAGCTCCACTGGCTGCCGATTAGCTTCCGGGCATGATTCAAAGTGCTGGTTTTAACCTTTAAAGTCCTGAACGGTTCTGGTCCAGATTATCTGTCCGAACGTATCTCCTGCTATGAACCATCACGAAGCTTAAGATCATCAGGAAAGGCACTGCTCTCGATCCCACCACTGTCGCAAACGCGGTTGGTGGGGACGAGAGACAGGGCCTTCTCGGCAGTGGCTCCCCGTCTGTGGAACTCCCTCCCTAAGGATATCAGGTTGGCCACCTCCCTCCTGTCTTTAGAAGACAACTGAAGACCGGGCTCTGGGGGCAGGCATTCTATTAGAGGCCAGTGGCAATAGGAACAGGAAATTTAGCTTTTGTGACATGGATTCTCCTGGCTCAGCTAGGTATTTCTGGCATGTTAACCTACTAATTGGGTTGCTGTAGGTTTTTTCGGGCTGTATGGCCATGTTCACTACCTCTGAGGATGCTTGCCATAGATGCAGGCGAAACGTCAGGAGAAAACGCCTTTAGAACATGTCTATTTAGCCTGAAAAAACCTACAACAACCCAGTGATTCCGGCCATGAAAGCCTTCGACAATACATTAAATCTATTAATGTATTGTTAAATTTTACTGATGATGTTGTATAATGTTTTAAAGGGATTTTATTGTGAACTGTAATTTTTATGGTATTTATGTTGTTAGTATCCTCTGATGCTCACATGAGGCTGCGCTGAGCCTCCCTTGTGAGGAGAAGGGCGGGATACAAATATATGAAATAAACAAATAAATAAATAAATACTGGCCTTTGCATCTGCATAATGAGATGCCTAATCAGATGCCCCAGTCCCTCTCTAGCCTAGTGACACTGGAGAAAGACTAGGGATCTAGAGGCAAAGGAGCAGAGTGCCACCTCCGCTACCTTGAAGGCAGAAGCAGGCAGTTGATGGTAACACTTTTTGGATTTTGGAGATTTTCGAACTCTGGATTTCTAGAAAAAGAAAGCTCAGCCTGTATTCACCTTTCTATACCGTTTATATTCGAGTATAAGCCAACCCGAATATAAGCCAAGGCACCTAATTTTACCACAAAAAACTGGAAAAACATATTGACTCAAGTATAAGCCGAGGGTGGGAAATGCAGCCACTACAGGTAAATTTCAAAATAAAAATAGATACCAATAAAATTACATTAATTGAGGCATCAGGAGGTGAAATGTTTTTAATATTCACATAAAATTGTAATTTGAGATAAGACTGCCCAAACCTGATTAAATCATTACATATCTTCAATGTAAATGTACTTACATATCCTTCCAACAATAATAGAGTAAAATAACAAATATAATAATAATAAAGTAAAATAATGGAAATACAATAATAACAGTAATAGTAGAGTAGAATAATAAATGTGAAAAAGATCTTGGAGTCCTCGTGGACAACAAGTTAAACATGAACCAACAATGTTATGTGGTGGCAAAAAAAGCCAAGAGGAGCCTAGTGTCTAGATCTAGGGAAGTCATGCTACCCCTCTATTCCGCTTTGGTTAGACCACACCTGGAATACTGTGTCCAATTCTGGGCACCACAATTCAAGAGAGATATTGACAAGCTGGAATGTGTCCAGAGGAGGGCGACTAAAATGATCAAGGGTCTGGAGAACAAGCCCTATGAGGAGTGGCTTAAGGAGCTGGGCATGTTTAGCCTGAAGAAGAGAAGGCTGAGAGGAGATATGATAGCCATGTATAAATATGTGAGAGGAAGCCACAGGGAGGAGGGAGCAAGCTTGTTTTCTGCTTCCTTGGAGACTAGGACGCGGAACAATGGCTTCAAACTACAAGAAAGGAGATTCCATCTGCACATGAGGAAGAACTTCCTGACTGTGAGAGCTGTTCAGCAGTGGAACTCTCTGCCCCGGAGTGTGGTGGAGGCTCCTTCTTGGGAAGCTTTTAAAGAGAGGCTGGATGGCCATCTGTCAGGGGTGATTTGAATGCAATATTCCTGCTTCTTGGCAGAATGGGGTTGGACTGGATGGCCCAGGAGGTCTCTTCCAATTCTTTGATTCTATGTAATAACAGAATAACATAATAAATGCAATAATAATAAAGTAAAAAATAAATGTAATAGTAATCATAAATAGTGTAAAATAATAAATGTAATAATAATAATAGGGTAAAATACTGTAAATGTAATAATAATAAAGAGAGTAAAATAATACATGAAATAAAAATAATACTAATAACAGAGTAAAATAAGAAATAACCTTGACTCGAGTATAAGCTGAGGGGAGCATTTTTAGCCATAAAAAGGGGCTGAAAAACTAGGCTTATACTCAAATATATACATTAAGTCCATTTCAGATCACTGCTATAATTTTATGTCAAAGCAACGTAAAATACAGGCAGGAATAAAGCAATTGTTCTCCACGAAAATAAACCAGACCCAAACCTAACTAATTTAACTAAAAGTTGCTTGAAACAAAGTAATTCCAGTAGGCCCTCAAATATTAGCAGTTTTGGAAGGAGATGGGGAGTCTGTGAGAGAAATACAAAAACTGCTCACCATCCTTGCTCATTCTTATACTTATAAGCAGCACCGAGAATGTGGCACAGCGTACCGCCAGCTTTGAAATCCATGAAGCACTTTGCCTGAAACAGAGAAAGCATCAAAGTGACATTCATGTTCAAACTTTCAAAATAACATGAACGCAACGGAACAAGGTACACAAAACAGCGAAAGAACTGTGAGAAGACGGTTCTGATGACTCACAGGGAACTTGGTGAAGGCAGGATTGGCGACATGTTTTCCGAAGGCATCTTCCTGAAACTGCAGCAGCTGCATCACAAGCCCCGCCAGTGTTTTATTGGTAGGAGCATCTGCCTGAACATACTGGGGGGGAAAAATTGTCAAAATCAATCTCAGTGTCATGCCTACGTTTGAAAAGTGGCTTACATTTTCTAGCAACATTCATGCTGCAATTTAAAATCAGCTTGCATCATCGTTTTGCCTTTTTTTCAATTTTAATTCTGATCTTACCGTATGCTGGTAACTAGGCATGCAAAGAACAGGCCAGCTGTCACTAGATTTAAATTTGCCAAGTTTCTTCAAACGTCTTCTTTTATTGATTTCATTTTTTTCAGAGCTTCCAACACAAACTGCTAATTCCAATATGCATGCAGCACTATCAATGACAACATCGTATTGTCGAAGGCTTTCATGGCTGGAATCACTGGTTTGTTGTAGGTTTTTTCGGGCTGTATGGCCATGGTCTAGAGGCATTCTCTCCTGACGTTTCGCCTGCACTTTGGCAAGCATCCTCAGAGGTAGTGAGGTCTGTTGGGACATTCTACAGATATATAAACCCTTTTTCCTAGTTCCAACGGACCTCACTACCTCTGAGGATGCTTGCCAAAGTGAAGGCGAAACATCAGGAGAGAATGCCTCTAGACCATGGCCATATAGCCCGAAAAAATCTACAACAAACCAATGACAACATCATTTCTTTGTTCAGGAGAAAATAAAGCTCGACTGATGTATTCACAGCACCACTTTTATCTTACATGTGCATCTTATATACAGCATCTAAACATTGGACTAATTAATAACTGCTTGATTTGCTGCTTTTCTGTCCACTGTGCAAATTTAAATAAATAAATTAATAATAATAATAATTAAAAAAACTTTATTTGTACTCCGCTGCCAAGCCCACAGCACATCAGTAAAACAATAACAATAATAATACATAACAATAAAATAAAACTCAAAAACAGAAATTAGCAGTAAACATTAACTGTAACACAATATGTTTAAAAGCTTATGGCTGGGCCAAATGTAATAATTAAAATTATAAAATAATGCTGAGCATGACCAGGTGAAATATAACTAAGATAGAATTTTCAGAGAGGAATAGGCAAGCAGACATTCCTAGATCACTCTGGCACCACAGGATGCAGAGCCAACCTTCAGAAATGGGGCTGCAAAGTGGAATCCTCGACATGCGAGTGCGGAGAAGAGCAAACTACTGACCACCTGCTGCAATGCAACCTGAGCCCTGCCACATGCACCATGGAGGACCTTCTTGCAGCAACACCAGAAGCACTCCAAGTGGCCAGATACTGGTCAAAGGACATTTAACCAACTACCAAACTCACAAGTTTTGTATTTTTCTGTTTGTTTGCTTTGTTCTGTTAGAAATGTAATATAATGGACTGGTTGCTCTGACAAGACAAATATTAGATCACTAATAAAGTGCATTGAGGGACATATTGCTGGGAGTTTCCTTATTCTGGGAAGGCACACTGGAACAACCATGTTTTCAGGCTCCTCCTAAAGACTGCCAGAGTTGGGGCATGCCTGATGTCCTTGGGGAGTGAGTTCCAGAGTCGAGGGGCCACCACCAAGCGCACCTGCGATGGAGGTGGGAGTGCGAGCAGGGTCTCTCCAGATGATCGAAGAGATCGTGTGGGCTCGTACACAGAAATGCAGTCATGCAGATAGGCAGTCCCAAACTGTTTAGGGCTTTGTAGGTAAGAACCTGCACCTTGAATTGGGACCGGAAAATGTCACAAATGCCTTGTGACAATAATAAAAGTTATCAATTATGTGAACAAACCCAAACATTTAACTTGTTGCTCAAATTCTTCTGCTTTTGTGGACCTTGTTTAAAATCTTAAATCTCCAGTACCTAATTGTAATTTACTCCTGCCTAACTACATCTATTTCCATCAGTACTCTCTATGTCAATGGTTCCCAACCTGTAGACCATGGACCACCAGTGGTTCACAAGAACTAAAATATGGCCTTACCGTTACTCTTTCCAACAAGAGTGATTGGTCTCGAGAAATCCTCTTATAGTGCCAAGGCTTATTAAATATGGTTTTTTGTGGGCAAGAAGATGGCGACTACCGGACGGCATATGTTCTGTATCAGAAACTACAGCTGATGTGGTCCACCCAATGCAGTGTTCTGAATCAGCATCCCAAATGACCAAACCAAATCTAAAATTGACCAAAAACTGATTTGTAACCCTTTTGGTGCTAATGCTGGAGAGTGTGGTCCATGGGCAAAAATAAGGCTACGCCAGATCACCCCCCCCCCCCAACTCTACTGCAACACATTCTATGTGGTGTTGCCTTTGAAGACTGCTCGGAAGCTCCAACTAGTCCAAAGGATGGCAGCCAGGTTGCTCACCGGAGCGGTATATACTACACCAGCTCCACTAGTTGCCAATCTGCTACCAAGCACAATTCAAAGTGCTGATTTAATCTTATAAAGCCCTGAACGGTTCTGGCCCAGCTTACCTGTCTGAACACATCTCCTGCTATGAACCATTGAAAAGTCTAAGATCGACAGGAGAGGCCCTGCTTTCGGTCCCACCACCCTCGCAAGTGCGACTGGTGGAGATGAGAGGCAGGGCCTTCTCAATGGTGGCCCCTCGCCTGTGGAACTCTCTACCCAGTGACATTCGATTGGCCCCCTCCCTCTTACCCTGGTTATGGGGCCAAGCATTCGAACAATAGAGGCAGCTGGGTTATTGTAGGTTTTTTCCAGGCTATATGGCCATGTTCTGGAGGCAATTTTTCTCCTGACGTTTCGCCTGCATCTATGGCAATAGAGGCAGCTATTTAGAATGAGACCCAATTTGTGTGAATGACAATGGACTGACCTGGACTATGATTTCAAACCTGTGTGATTTAAAAAATGTTTAAGTAATTTCAAAGCATTAATGAACTGTTTTAATTGCTTTTATCATTTATTATTGTTGTTGGCATGGAATGAATGTCTGTTGTGAAGCCGCCCTGAGTCCCCCTCCAAGGGTGAGAAGGATGGGATACAAATATGTGAAATAATAATAAATAAATAATAAATAAAGGTTGAGAACCATTGCTTTACGTCCTCTGTCTCCTTGACCTCTACACCAAACTTTCTCGTTTCTGCTAAGAAACACCAAGGAAACTAAATACCATCTCCCTGGAGTTCATAACTTTTGGGGGACTTTGATTACATGACATTCTTTCCTATCTTTCACCACAATAAATTCTTTTACAACATTTTTGTTCTATCTTATTAGTATTTGGAATGCCTGTAAATGTATATCCAATACCTGAATGTTTACCTTTTTTACTATGACACTCACAAGACACACACACACACAGCTATACACAAAGGGGTCTGATAACACTTAAACCAAAGGACTCTTCAAGTTAGTGACAGCGACGACTGGACCAAAATGCAGTTCATGGCACACTTTCCCTTTTTGGATCCCAACCAGGAAGAACAAAAGACATCAAACAGGGACCACGTGCCCCACGTGTGATCTGTAAATAAACAGTCTCCTTCTTCTTTTTACTGCTCCGCTTTGTCTCTCAATCCAAGCCACAGAGCTTGGACCAATGGGCCATTTCGAAGGGAAAACCCCACCCCTCCACTTGGCCTGTGTTTCACACACAAGTGCCAGACAAGGGGGCAGGTGGCCTTTTGTGAGTTCTTCCCAAGGGAAAAGCAGAGCGGCAGTGCCTCTTCCACAATGAGGCCACCGCCTCCCTTCCCACAATAAGAGGGGCCATTCGATCAGACAGGGAGCAGCTGAGAGAGGTTCTTCTTTTCCCTCTCAAATTCAGGTGGAGAACAGGAATCCTCCCCCTTTACGTCAATTTGTCCAAGAAAGCCCTGGCATAGGTTTTGCCTTCAGGCTGCCACAGAAATGACCTGAAGGCACACACACATCAAGTGACACTCTCTCAGCCACTGACACAAAGGGAGACTTCCACACACACACATCAAGTGACACTCTCTCAGCCTCAGAGGGAAAGAAAGGGAGCCTTCCTCACACACAAAGACAGTGACACTCTCTTGGCCTCAGAGACACAGAAAGGGAGCCTTTTGCACACATACACACATATCAAGTGACACTCTCAGCTTAAGAGAGACAGAAAGGGAGCCTTCCCCCCCCACACACACACATCAAGTGACACTCTCTCAGCCTCAGAGGGACACAAAAGAAGCCTTCCTTTTTTCAATTAATTGGTTCAAGAAAACTCAGCTCTAGGCTTGTCACAAAAGAGACATGACCTGAACGCACACTCATAGCAAGTGACACTCTCTCAGCCTCAGAGGGGCTCAAAGGGAGCCTTCCTCTCTCACACACATATCAAGTGACACTCTCTCATCCTAAGAGGGACACAAAAGGAGCCTTCCCCACACACATCAAGTGACACTCTCTCAGCCTCAGAGGGATAGAAAGGGAACCTTTCTCACACACACATATCAAGTGACACTCTCTCAACCTCAGAGGGACACAAAAGAATCAATTGGTTCAAGAAAAAACCCTGCTCTAGGCTTACCACAGAAGAGAAATGACCTGAAGGCACACTCATATCAAGAGACACTCTCTCAGCCTCAGAGTGACACAAAGGGAGCCTTCCTCACATATAGCCCCACATACACTATCAAGTGACACCCTCTCAGTCTCAGAGAGACCGAAAGGGAACTTCCCTCACACACATCAAGTGACACTCTCTCAGCCTAAGAGGGACACAAAGGAATCAATTGGTTCAAGAAAAACCCTGCTCTAGGCTTGCCACAGAAGAGAAGGCACACACATATCAAGTGACACTCTCTCAGCCTAAGAGTGACACAAAAGATTCAATTGGTTCAAGAAAACCCTACTCTAGGCTTGCTAGAGAAATGACCTGAAGGCACACACATAACAAGTGACACTCTCTCAGCCTCAGAGGGACACAAAGGGAACCTTCCTCACACATACAAGTGACACTCCCTCACCCTGAGGGGGACAGAAAGGAATATATAGTATGTTTAACAATATAGTATGTTTTATGACCATGGGACTTGTAAGCCAATCTGAGTCCCCTTCGCCAGCATATAAATTTAAACAAACAAAGGAAGCCTTCCCCACACACACATACCAAGTGACAGTTTCTCAGCCTAAGAGAGATACAAAGGAATCAATTGGTTCAAGAAAAACCCTGCTCTAGGCTTGCCACAGAAGAGAAGGCACACACATATCAAGTGACACTCTCTCATTCTAAGAGGGACACAAAAGGAGCCTTCCCCTCCCACACACATATCAAGTGACACTCTCTCAGCCTCAGAGGGGCACAAAAGAATCATTTGGTTCAAGAAAAACCCTGCTCTAAGCTTGCCACAGAAGAGAAGGCACACACATATCAAGTGACACTCTCTCATTCTAAGAGGGACACAAAAGGAGCCTTCCCCTCCCACACACATATCAAGTGACACTCTCTCAGCCTCAGAAGGGCACAAAAGAATCATTTGGTTCAAGAAAAACCCTGCTCTAAGCTTGCCACAGAAGAGAAGGCACACACATATCAAGTGACACTCTCTCATTCTAAGAGGGACACAAAAGGAGCCTTCCCCTCCCACACACATATCAAGTGACACTCTCTCAGCCTCAGAGGGGCACAAAAGAATCATTTGGTTCAAGAAAAACCCTGCTCTAAGCTTGCCACAGAAGAGAAGGCACACACATATCAAGTGACACTCTCTCATTCTAAGAGGGACACAAAAGGAGCCTTCCCCTCCCACACACATATCAAGTGACACTCTCTCAGCCTCAGAGGGGCACAAAAGAATCATTTGGTTCAAGAAAAACCCTGCTCTAAGCTTGCCACAGAAGAGAAGGCACACACATATCAAGTGACACTCTCTCATTCTAAGAGGGACACAAAAGGAGCCTTCCCCTCCCACACACATATCAAGTGACACTCTCTCAGCCTCAGAGTGACACGAAGGGAGTCTTCTTCACATATAGCCCCACATACACACACACACACACTATCAAGTGACACTCTCTCAGCCTAAGAGAGACACAAAAGAATCGATTGGTTCAAGAAAAAACCCTGCTCTAGGCTTGCCAGAGAAGAGAAATGACCTGAAGGCACACACATATCAAATGACACTCTCTCAGCCTCAGAGGGACACAAAAGGAGCCTTCCCCTCCCACACACACATCAAGTGACACTCTCTCAACCTCAGAGGGACAGAAAGGGAACTCCCCCCACACACGTGACACTCTCAGTCTAAGAGGGGCACAAAAGGATCCTTCCCCTCCCACAGACATATCAAGTGACACTTTCAGCCTAAGAGGGACACAAAAGAATCAATTGGTTCAAGAAAAAACCCTGCTCTAGGCTTGCCAGAGAAGAAAAATGACCTGAAGGCACACACATATCAAGTGACACTCTCTCAACCTCAGAGGGACACAATGGGAGCCTTCCCTACTCATATAAGTGACAGTCTCTCAGCTTCAGAGGGACAGAAAGGGAGCCTTTCCCCCTCCCACACACATATCAAGGGACACTCTCTCAACTTCAGAGGGACACAATGGGAGCCTTCCTCACACATATGTGACACTCTCTCAGCTTCAGAGGGACACAAAGGGAACCTTCCACACACATATCAAGTGACACACTCTCAGCCTCAGAGGGACACAAAGGAAGCCTTTCCCCACACATACAAGTGACACTCCCTCACCCTGAGGGGGACAGAAATGTCTGATAATAATAATAATAATAATAATAGAGTATGTTTTATGTCCATATGACTTGTAAGCTACTGAGTCCCCTTCGCCAGCATATAAATGTCATAAACAAACAAAGGAAGCCTTCCCCACATACACATACCAAGTGACACCCTCTCAGCCTCAAAGGGACACAAAGGGAACCAAATTAATGACACTAAGGCACAGAAATGATGCTAGGCCAGGCCTCTGGGGCTTTGGACTCCAACTCCCACCATTCCTCACAGCCTCAGGCCCGCTTAAGCGTCTGAGGGGGAAAAGGAAGGGTCCTGAGGCTGTGAGGAATGGTGGGAGTTGGAGTCCAAAGGCCCAACCTGGGACACAAAGGGAGCAGGCCTCACCTTCTTGCAGTGCTTCCCGAGCCAGAGGCGTGCGGCGTCGAGCTGGGCGGCGGTGTCGGAGCTCTCCCAGAACTTCCCCGCGGGGCCTCCGTCCTTGCGCCGCGACACGGCGGGAGGGCCCGAGGAGGAGGACGACGACGACGAGGAGGAGGCCGAGGAGAGGCCTGAGGCGGGCGGGCCCTCAGCGGGGCCTACTCCTCCTGAACCTCCTCCGCCTCCTCCTGCTCCTGCTGAGCCTGGCTGGCCCGTGGGGGTGGGGTTGGTGTTGGCGGTGGCCGTGGTGTGGGCCGCCATGGTCCTTCCGGGCCTCCCGCGCGGCCTCCTGCGCCGCCGCCACCGCCGCCTCAGCCGGGGCCCTTCGCCTCCCTCTCTCCCGGCCCCGCGCATGCGCAGAGCCCGCGGGAAGGAGACGCCGCCGCGCCTGCCTCCCACGCCGCCGCCACCCTCTCTCTCTCTCTCGCTCAATCTCTCGCTCGCGCTCTCTCTCTCTCTCTCTCGCCCGCGCGCACGCGCAGTCCGACCTCGCGCTCCCTCCCTCCCTCAAGGCGCCGAGCGCTCACGACGCGCCTCCGCCTTCCCTCCCACGCCGGCTTTCCCCTACGCAAGAGGGACGCATGCGCAGACAAGGGAGAGTGGCTCGCGCTCTCGGAGTCTTTTCTCTAATGCGCATGCGCGAGGCACTAGCAAGCGCCTTTCTTTGTAAGGCTTTCGCCTCGCTTGCGCATGCGTACACAACATGGACACTTTTTTTTTTCTTCTGGGCCTCACTCACGCAAGCGTACACAACATCGCCAGCGCTTTCTTTTTTTTCTTCTGGGCCTCACTGGCGCATGCGTACTCAACATGGACACTTTTTCTTTCTTTCTAGGCCTCGCTCACGCATGCGTACACAACATCAGCAGAGCATTTCTTCTTTTGGGCCTCGCTTGCGCATGCGTACACAAAATCTACACTTTTTTCTTCTAAGCCTCACTGGCGCATGCGTACACAACATCAGCAGAGCATTTTTTTGTTTTGGGCCTCGCTCGCGCATGCGTATACAAAATCTACACTTTTTTTCTTCTAAGCCTCACTGGCGCATGCGTACACAACATCAGCAGAGCATATTTTTTGTTTTGGGCCTCGCTCGCGCATGCGTATACAAAATCTACACTTTTTTTCTTCTGGGCCTCACTGACGCATGCATATACAACATTATCAGCACATTTTTTTCTTTATGGGCCTCACTCGCGCATGCGTACACAACAATCGATACTTTTTTTTCTTTCTAGGCCTCGCTTGCGCATGCGTACACACCATTGCAAGCAAAACATCGATTTTTTTTCTTTCTGAGCCTCGTTTGCGCATGCGTACACAACTTCTCCAGCACTTTTTTGTTCGCTGGGACTCGCTCGCGCATGCGTACTCAACACCACCAGATTTTTTTGTTTTGGGCCTCACTCGCGCATGCGTACACAACATCGCATGCACTTTTTTTCGTACTCTGAGCCTCGGTCGCGCATGCGTATCAACCCCTCCCTCTCGCCTTTGTGTGGCTCCCTCGCCTCCATGCGCGCATGCGCGAGGGGCAGCCAAGCGGGGAAGGCCTCGTTGTGAGGGAGAGAGGGCCACCGAGAGGGTCGCCTTGTTGTCCTTTCCCCGGAGAGGAGACAAGAGCAGGGCGGGCGCGGCGGAAGGAGTGGCCGCACAGGAAGTGACCCAGAGTGGTCAGTTCCGCTTGACCTGTCCGCGACACATTTGGCGGGAAAAAGGCAGGCCTGAAGGAAGAGGAGGAGGAGGACAAAAAAGGCAGGCCTTGGCCACGCCCCAAAGGAGAAGGAGAAGACTCTCACAGGTGTCTCTATAGTATAGGGAGATTTAGATGCAAACACACACACACATATATATATGCGCATACAGAATAAGAGACAACCTAGTCAAAGAGCAATAGTGATATAATAGTGAATAATAGCGCAAATAGTGATGCAGTAGTGATCAACAGTGCATATGATAGTGAACAATAGTGCATATAAACATGCAGAATAACCTAGTCAAAGAGCAATAGTGATATAATAGTGAACAATAGCGCAAATAGTAGTGATGCAATAGTGATATGATAGTGAACAACAGTGCATATGATAATGAACAATAGTGCATATGATGGTGATATAATAGGGAGAAATAGGGATATAATAGTGAACAATAGTGCATATGCTGGTGATATAATAGGGAGAAATAGCGATGTAATAGTGAACAATAGCGTATATGCTGGTGATATAATAGGGAGAAATAGCGATGTAATAGTGAACAATAGCGTATATGCTGGTGATATAATAGGGAGAAATAGTGATATAATAGTGAATAGTGGTGCATATGTTGGTCATATAATAGGGAGAGATAGCGATATAATAGTGAACAATAGTGCATATGATGGTGATATAATAGGAGAAGACTCACAGGTGTCTATATGGAGATTTAGATACACACACATATATATATATTCATACAGAATAAGAGACAACCTAGTCAAAGAGCAATAGTGATATAATAGTGCATATTATAGTGAACAATTGTGCAAATAGTAGTGATACAAGAGACCAGTAGTGATATAGTAGTGAACAACGACGCATATGATAGTGATATAATAGTGAACAATAGTGCAGATAGTGATACAATAGTGAGCACTACTGATATAATAGTGAACAATTGTGCATATGATAGTGATATAAAAAGCATGGCTATAATAATAATAATATAGTGCTAAAACTGGAAAACATAGACTAGGCCTGGACCAACTTGGGCCTTCCGTCCAGGTGTTTTGGACTCCAACTCCCACAATTCCTGTCAGCCTCAGGCCCCTTCCTTTCCCTCCTTAGCCGCTTAGCACCCAGAGGCAAGGCCAAAGTTGGCCCAGGCCTGATATAGACAATCAGCAATGCATCTGGCTTAACTTTGAAGGCACTGAGGGTGGCTACGGCCGAAAGGGAGCTCTGGTGTGGGCTGGTCCATTAGGTCACAAAGAATCGGAAGAGACTGAACGAATAAACAACTATATTACTAAACCACTATATATATATACCTCAATCAATGGCTGATACCAAATGAGAGACTCCCCCCTGGGCACACAGAAGACTGGGCGACTTGGAAGGCGCTGAACAGACTGCGCTCTGGCACCACGAGATGCAGAGCCAGCCTTAATAAATGGGGCTACAGGGTGGAATCCATGACATGCGAGTGTGGAGAAGAGCAAACCACTGACCACCTGCTGCAATGCACCCTGAGCCCTGCCACATGCACCATGGAGGACCTTCTTGCGGCAACACCAGAGGCACTCCAAGTGGCCAGATACTGGTCAAAGGACATTTAATCAACTACCAAGCTTGCAAACTTAGTGTTTTGTTTGTTTTTAATGCAATACAACTGTTTGGTTCGATCCTGACACGATACATAAATAATTTCGAAAGTAATGCCCAATTGCACCTTCTGAAAGGTTATTTGTGAAATAAGGGGCACCCCTAAATGCTCATAAAACGATTACCCAATATTATACCAATTATTTTATTTTGACATCCAACCGTTCTTGTATCTTTATATCATTTTCTTTAATATGTGTGTGTTTGTATCTCTCTCTCTCTGTGATGTTTTATCTTTGATGTTTTAACTTTAGCTGTGGTGAGTGACAAAATAATATCTGGCATGACGCAGCTAGAGAAAGCCAGCCTAGCGCAATGGTTCTGAGCACTGGATTCCGGTTCCTGCTCAGTCTTTGGAATCTACCGGTTGTCTTTGGGTAAATCCCACTCTCTCAGCCTTAAGATGGCGCAGTGGGTTAAATCCCTGTGCCGGCAGGACTGAAGACTGATAGATCACAGGTTCGAATCCGGTGAGAGGTGGATGAGCTCCCTCTGTGAGCTCCAGCTCCTCATGCAGGGACATGAGAGAAGCCTCCCACAAGGATAAAAACATCAAATCATCCAGGCGTCGCCTGGGCAACGTCCTTGCAGACGGCCAATTCTCTCACACCAGAAGCAACTTGCCGTTTCTCAAGTCGCTCCTGACACGACCAAAAAAAAAAAAAAAAGCCTTAAGGTGAGGAAGGAAATGACAAACCTCCTTGGGATAAATCTTGCCAGGAAAGCCAGGATAGTGTCGGCATAAGTGTGAATCAAAAGTATGTCCAAACTTTCCACATTCTGAGATGCATCCTTTTGCAACACTCTCAGTTTTACTAGCAAACCAGGGGTTAAACCAAACCCTTATAAGAGTTTCTTGCAATACACATGTATTATAATATATATGTGCATATGCTATAAAATATAAATTGTATATATAATGTATGTTTCATATCATCCAAATTTTGGACATTTCTCCTTTACACTTCTGTATTACCGGTGATTCTTGGAACTCCATAGCTGTTCCATGGGGTTCATCACAACATCAACAGATTTCCTTTTCTTAATTAGAAACATGTCCACTTTAATGATAATTACTGCAGCACAATCCACAAATTGTGCAAATTATAAAATTTATAACAATACCTACACCTGAACAGCACAAGCTCTCCTATAGGGATTAAACCTCTCTGGATGTTTTTAAACTCAGGCTGGATGACCATCTTCTGGGAAAACCTTCACTGCATTCCTACCTGGATGAAGGTGGTTGGTCCAGATGTCTTCTGGGGATCCCTTCCAACGCTAGTGAAATACAGATTGCCTGGGAGTACACTGGGCTCTCATTCTTTCCCACCCTTCCCATCAGCCTAATTCAACTGGGCAGAGGAAGGAATCCCACTGGAGCATTGCAGCACACCCAAACACCTGGGAGTCTCCTAGTCTTACCTGGAAAGTGCTCTGACTTAGAAGCACTGCTTGACTATCAAGCAAAAAGTGGGCGCTAGAAATAATATCATACGAAAGCTGACTGGCACAACCTGGGGATCACAACTAGACACAGTGAAGACATCTGCCCTTCTGCTATGCTACTCTGCTGCTGAGTATGCACATGATGTGGCTCTTAATGAGACATGCCACACAATTACAAGATGTCTATGCCCTACACCACTGGAGAAATTATACTGTTTAGCTGGTATTTTGCCACCTGACATCCATCGGGAAGTAGAAACCAATAGTGAAAGGACCAAGGCAATGACATCTTCGGCTGATCCCCGTTTGGATATCAGGCAGCACGCCAATGCCTTAAACCAAGAAACAGCTTCCTAGGATCTACAGCAGTGGTTCTGAACCTGGGGTCCCCAGATGTTTTTGGCCTCCAACTCCCAGAAATCCTAACAGCTGATAAACGCTAGGATTTCTGGGAGTTGTAGGCCAAAAACATCTGGGGACCCCAGGTTGAGAACCACTGATCTACAGAGATACTCGCTGGAACACTTCAGCAAATGAGAGTCCAAAAGCGGCAGGCTAAAACCCAGAACCTCAATCAGTGGCTGAGACCAGATGAGAGACTCCCTCCTGGGCACACAGAAGATTGGGCGACTTGGAAGGCTCTGAACAGACTGCGCTCTGGCATCACAAGGTGCACATCCAGGTGCACAGCCAACCTTAAGAAATGGRGCCACAA